AAATTATGACAGAAATTTATTGACTCGCCGGAATACGGCACAACGCTTGAAATTACAGGTGAAATATCTTACTTGCATCTTGCATCATCATCAACACACTGGATAACTTACTGCTGCTCAGAATTTTGACATATAAACTCCATATTCGTGCAACATTGAAGGTTGCTATTCGTAATAAATGCGGGTCACCAATTATGGTGGTACAATTATTTGAGACAGATCGTTAAATAATTATAAACAATTGAATAGAATAAATATTTTTTTTTTTTGGTTGCTATGAGTTACCAGACTGGCAGAGTTGAGTTGTAGTAGGCAGTTGCTACATATCCCCACATATCTGTATATTAAACTTTTGTTTAAAAATTGCACTTTTTAAAAACACTTATATAAATATGTGAAAAATAAATAACAACCTTTTTAACTACTAATTCTAGATCATCGTATGTCTCATTTTTCCGCCGACATAAATGCATTTCCGAATCCAAGGCTAGTGTAGTTAGGTAGTGACTATTCTTAATATATTTTTGAGTATTTTATGGCAGATTCAGCATTTTATTATTATTTGCATTATTTCCTTAGTACGAATATATTCTATACATTGTATTACTGAACGTTTTTTTTTGTCGGGGGGGGGGGGGGGCGCCAAGAAGGTATTTTGCCCCGGGCGCCAGTTATGCTTGCTACGCCACTGCTGTCATATGTTGCTTCTAAGCGGGTTCTGGATATATTCTTCCTTCTCAATGTAGACGTGAGCGAAATGTGGGCATTGCATAAACCATACATTTAACGGCACAAACACTTTATTACACACAAACAAAACAAAAATAGAACCATATGTATCATTAGTACGCTGGCATTCAGCGGGTTGCTTTCGTTGCTATCAGTCCCTTGTTTTCTAATGTAAGTCACGTGACAGAGAAGCGTTGCAGACCGTTCGGCTAAACTGCGCATGCGTGGTCATCTCGTCATGAGACCGCCTTCTTAAGATAGCGGAGAGTATCACTCGAAGGTGATCACAAATCCAGTTGCCCTGTAGATGTGGCCACTGAAGAAATCTGTACCAAAGTCAAATACATGATGTAAAATTAGATAGCGACAGTTACTCAGATTACTGTGGAAATGATATTAGTATTACATCACGGTAAAATTTCCGTATGAAGATGAAGATATTGAAATTCTGAGCCAGATCGAATGTTGACACCAGAAACCAAAAACATCGGATCGAATTTTCTCAAGAAGTGATCTCTATGAACACTAATAAAATTTTTATTCAAGGCTTCAGTATTGTGACGTATAATGAGAATAAAATAGCTTCAGTATTGTGACGAATAATGAGAATAAATAGCTTCAGTATTGTGACCTAGAAATGAAACAAGAGAGCATAAACACGATCTGTTGGTAAAGATCTGCGAGTCCAGATATCTGCAGAGAAGACCTTTAGTAATAACTTTTGGGATGTACAGAAACCCTTACTTATTAACTGTATGTCACCATAATGCATGCTTCTTATGCTAACCTGCTGTCTCAATCCATATAGGCCATAAAAACAAAATACCGTGGCACACTTTGCAGAAAGGTGTTAACTTAGTATGGAAACGCTCCAGTACACAAAATTCATATATCTCAGACTCCTCTTTAACTAAACGGATTTCAGCTCCTCTCGTATCCACCCTTTCAAATGACTGCGTTTTTGATTTAATATTTGAAGTAATACTTACGTGGTTCACTTTACAGGACGATGGTGATTTGAATGGTGATATGTCAGGAAACGTGCGCTTTTTTCTTATAAAATTGGAAGCTTAATGGATCGCTGTGCTAACTGCATTGAAGTAATGGGAAAGTACATAAAAAGAAAATTAAGATATTTCTCATCTGCAAAAGTATAAAACATAAAATTTATTGAATGCTTCCTCTAGCTACATTGAGTTGGTAAAGATCTGTGATATACTAGTTGTCTATAATTAAAGCCCGAAATTTCAGGAAATATGCTATAGATGCCTTTTCTTGTGGAATCGTATACTCCTTTTTGAAAATGCTTTTTTTTAACCTTTCCCAACATAAATGCCTCAGTTTTGCGTTTTCATATATCCCTTAGAATCCATACGCGTATATACAGTGAACCTTTTCTGGGGCATTATTCTTTATTCTAGATAATTTCGGTCTTTTACCATTTCCATTGTGGAAATGGTAAATTTAGGAAAGTAATATTCAATATATATTCATAAAAGTTATGGTCGCATTTATATGTAGTCAATTTAGGACGCTTAACAAGAAAAGTTTTAAAGGACTTAAATATCTTAACGTTCGAAAGCTTAAAAATATTGAAGCAAATGCGTTTTTGTTCTTTGTTTCCACTGGAGCATGAATACGGCTTTAGGAAACACGAAGTCATCGCCTAATAAACAATCGTAATGAAAGTGGAAGACTCTAGCAACTTTATGGTATTAGAACTTAAAACCATAGAACTGGTTGCAGCGAATACGTGATCTTCACTTAGTCAGTCACGATTGGTGTATAGTAGCTTCTTTTGCAAATGCATTCTAGTAGTTTCTCTAAAGATAAATTGTACGGCGTAATTTTCTTAGATATTGCCAATGCCTTTGACACAGTGTGGCACCAAAGACTTATACTAAAACTAATTCAGCGCAATTTTCCGAACCACTTTATTCGACTTATTGCCTCTTACCTCAGAAATCGCACTTTTGCTGTCAAAATTGGAAACACCCTCTCAACTGCAAGAAATATTACTGCAGGTGTCTCTCAAGGCTCCATTCTCTCTCCTTTTCTTTACAATATTTATACTCAAGACATTCCAAAAGAATCTCATATTAATATCGCCTTATTTGTCGACGATACCGCTATCCTAACTCAAGCTTCAAAAATCAACACTGTAAAAAGTTTTCTATAAAAACTATATGGAGCTTCTTGAAAATTGTATGACGCTGTGGAGAATTGCCGTTAACACTGACAAGAACAAAGCCATTATTTTCAGTAAAGAAAAAACTTCCTTCCGCCTAATCCCATCTTCTTTGACGACGATATTCAGCGGACGGATCAAGTATGATGGAATCACACTTGACAAAAAAACTCACTTTTCGGGAACATTTATTCGAAACTGTCAGGAAATTCAATATCTCAATAGATACTATGCGTCCTCTCCTCGGCAAACATAACAATCTAACTATCAACAATAAACTTGTTTTATACAAGTCCATTCTTAGACCTATTTTACTCTACGCCAGTCAGGTATGGGGACACGGCGCTAAAACCCACATAAAAAAGATCCAAGTTATTAAAAAAAAAAACCTTCGTGAAATTATTAATGCACCCTGGTTCATCTCAAATTCATATATTCACAGAGATCTTCAAATTGATACTATACAAAATTATATAAAAAAACTTGCAACAATTTTTTTCCTTTCTGTACAATTACATCCAAACAGCTGTATCAGTTCTTTGCGATACTCACCTTTTCATAGAGAAAACACAAATATTCTTCGGATATTCTTACCTAACATTTTGTTAATTATTTGAAGTACTACCTTACTGATCCAACGTTTTTTCACATTGCGTGTCTATTTTCATTCATTACATCTTTCTTCGCCGACTGATGGCGGCTAAGTGAAATATCCCATTCTACCATCTCGATTCTTCTTATCATCCTATTTTTGTTATTCTTTTATCTGATGCAGAGTAAAAGCGTGCTGTCACTCTCTTTCCATTCGACACAAGTCAGTCTAAAGATAAATACTGAAGCTTAAGCAAGTAAAATTTGGGAAGTTTCATGGAAATGTTTGACTGGTGTATTTTCTTCATTCAGTGTAAATTTCATGAAAGTGTGTAACTGGTATATTCTCTTCGTTTAGGTTATATTTTGTGAAAGTGTTTATCTGAGATATTTTCGTGACTCAGGAGAAATATCGTAAGATTCTTCATTCAAGCTAAATTTTGCGAAAGTGTGCGTCTGATTTATTTTCTTAGGGAAAATTTCGTGAAAATGTATGTATGGTTTATTTTCTTCACTTCGGGAAAATTTCGTGAAAGTGTGTGCATGGTTTATTTTTTTCATTTAAGAGAGAATTTTTTTGTCAAGCTATGGGAAATTTCAATGAACTTAGTATCTTGTAGTTTAACTCTTAAAAAAATATATATAAATATAAGCGAAGTAAGAAAGCATGTAAATGTACAAATCTGTTTTCGACCGCTTTGGATTTCCTTTAGAAATCGTAATCAAATCTTTACAATCGTTACAAACCTTAATGGGTAAGTGCCAGGCATTTGAAGAAGCTCACATTTTGCTCTGAAGCTTGAGAATAAAAGCATATGAACTTTTCAAGAAGCTGCAATAATCATAGTGTCCCGATAGATCAGCCCGATGTATATTTAAATGAATGTCGTGTAGAAATGTTTCATCCTTTTAAAATAAAATGTGGTATCGGCATGTAATAACAAAGCAGCAGATGCAAGGAAACTAAATGGGTCCAATTGAAGAGCAAAAATATTTTCGCTGATAGAAGAACAATTGCAAAAGGCTGGTGGGAAGCAAGTTATGAATTACATTATTCATTAATGATTTATCATTTGAGGAAGCGTTCGGACTGTGCCTGAACTGAAAGTAAGCATAACACACCACGTTACTGCAATTGATCAAGAAATCCTTTGCGCTGCTGTTGAACAAGCTATAGGAAGCTTTGAACATGTGACTGATGCAAATGGAATGCGCGTTGACCAAGTGCTGTGATTAAATATTGCGCATCCAATTGTGATTTTTGTTCTTCATGAGCATCTTCTTACCAGTAATCAAAATCTGAACTTTAATTTTTTATTGCAGTTTTCTTTTCCCCTTGTAACATATATACTAAGTTTTAACGAAATGGGTATACCAGAACGGGCTTTACGTGAATCTAAATAGGGTAACTTTAAATATATTACTACCCTGTATTTCTTGAAATCATGTAATATGCCATCGTGAATATTTACTAAATAATAAATCAAGAGCGTCAAAACATATTTTTTTAATTTTCCACAGTCTCTTTGAAGACACATTTTGAAATGCAATGATACAGATAACTTTGTAAAGTTTTTACCATCGTTATTATAAAGATATTCGTATAAATCACTGAAGAAGAGTAAAATTATGAGCTACAGTTTAAACATACTATTGATGATAGCTGTCTCGCACGAAGCATCATTTTCAGTTGAAACTCTTCATCATCAGAGTCAATGACTGTTAAGATTTTGGATATTTATACAGTAACACCGTCAGTTTCTAATAAATGCAGTTCTCATTTTAAAAACTGCTCCAGCATGTAAATGAAGGATGAGATGAACAACTTCTCCTAGTTAACAATTTCCGTGCAGTAAAAGGGCAGTTGCAAAAAACAAGGGAACAAATAATCAAGATACTATGGTATATAGTTTCAGTTTCATGATGAATCTCAGTTGGTATCTCGTTTCGACATGCTTTCGGTATTTCATTTCGACAGCACTTGTTTTATCAAGTACTTTGCTTTTAACTTGCATAAAGAAGTCCTTGAAAAACAAACTAAGTTACCAAAGCATGCATGTCCAAAGTTACGATAGGACTTCTACTTCAGTTCGATTGCTTAATATATCTTTGCAAATAAAGCTGAGCTAATTACTCTTCCATATATTTGTGTTTTAGGTAGAAGAAATACTAAATCAATCTACCCTGACAGAATTCTTGTTCCCATAACTTTGTGAATTTCGTAACATTACAGTCTTACTCTTAATTCTTAAATCATGTTCGTGAATGCTAAGTTTCAGTAAGCATTCTCATAGGTCAAAGAGCATCCTAGAATTTCAAGCGGCATATTCTACAGTAGAATTTCTAGGAGTTGTTTTGGTGTCATCCCAGTCTTCATCGTATCCTGAAGGAGATGGTGTCCATGACGAAGACGATGAGGGTGATGTTCTAACTGTAGTATTCTGTGCTGGCACAGACAATTCTAACTCTTCTCTATGCTGTCTACTCTGTCTGCGACATGGAAGCTGTTCAAAGTCCACGTGGAATCCCCGATGAATAAAGCTACCACGATCAGAATGGAACATGACAGTCAGTGTTGATGAATCACTCCAAGGAAAGAAAACTTCACCTGTGTAAAAGAAACATTTGTTTGAACACACTATTATCTAGAAAAGACATTTATTTGTAATAAAATGATTTATATACAAAGTGATTACAGACGAAAAAATAATTCTGATATTGACAGTAGGTCAGATGATCAAAAGACATAATTGATCTAACCAGTTTCTAAGAATATGATTAATTTATACTTTCAATTACAAACAATTGATTCAATACTATCTTATATGAAAGATATTTAACTTGAAAGATTGAATGTAATATCTCAACATTTTAGAAGTAAAAAACCTCAGAACTCACACATTTTGAAAATTGGTTTGGATAATTTGGATCATAACAATGCATGCAAGGAATATCCGTTTAAGAGGAAGAATCCCTTCCTGAAGGAATTTTTGAAGACAACTGACTCGTATGCACTCTACATATTACGTAAACTCATCTGCAGCTAGATTATTTGCCGGAAGGTGAACCCCTTCGAACTATCAGTGTTCAACTGTCTTATCACTAGTCTACTGATGGGAAACAAGTTTTTAATTTTAACCACGGATTTAGCGATGTAACGTAAGTCATATATCGTGTAATTATTAAATGCACTGAATTACATGATTACGCTCTTAAACTAATGAGGAATTTATTTCAGGTAAAATTTTTCACGCGTTAAATAATATTTCCCTGCACAGTCATAAATTCTTTGAACTTTCTGAGATTTACACTTACGTGTTAGCTGAAACAATTGTCCATCGCAGTATCGCCTGCCTTCTACCTCCAGGTAATCTACAATGCAGTCAGTTCCAGGAAGTAAATCAAAATCGCGGAAATATAGTCGTAGACTGCAGAATCCACGTAACTGCACAAATGTAAACATGCAGTGCGATGCTGGATATCCGCTGGGAAATCTTGGACTCCGGAAAAGCCCTCTGGGTGCTGCGAAGTACGCCGTTTCACATGTGTTAGAAGAACTTCCTGTTGATGTACTAGGTGGAGCAGGGTCATTCGTTCTACCATCTGAAAGAAACAAAATTAGAGCAACTGCAATACTCGCGAAATTTCTTCAATGCACAGCTGATAGACAATTAATATTAAGAACTTGAATCAATTCAATTAACCGACGCCATAGTTTATTAATTTTATTGATATGCGACAATTAAATAGCTTTGGTTCTAAAATATTCTTAATAATAGAAATCTGAGGTGTCAAATATTTACTGATAGGTAAGTAATTTATTATGGGAAAACAAAAGGGCTTAGAAGGAATACTTTAATAAAAGTCTTCTAAAAGCAAAACACACATATTTACATTATATACGAAGAAACCCGCGAGAATTCTCGTAGATTTGTTTATATATAATCAAAAGTAGGATTCATTCATTACCTTAATAAAAGCAACTGATAAGAAATATCTATTATATATTTGTTAATTTAAATCATCACAAATGCATATGCACAAGTTTGTTAATTTACAATCATCACATGAAAAAAAACCATCATTACAAACTTTTCATAAAAAATATGATTACATAGGTTAATTTGCACTATATTTCAGTATTTATATAGTGGCAAACTTTAAACTTAAAAACGACGATTGATTTCAACTATCTAGCAAAAAACTCGTTTGTAATTCACGTGATAATTGGGGATTAAAAATATTTTCAAGGTATTTTTTAACACCTACTTTCTCTAAGTAATGAATGCATTCTCTGCTTTTAATGAGCCATAAAGAATTCGTCAAGACTTCATGTGGTTTATATATATATATATATAATTAAATTAAATCAATAGATTCTAATAAATCAGTAGCTAAATTACGCGCTGAAAGCTACTATGATTTAATTAAAATCAAAATCAAAATTAATAGAAATTCAAAAACCATATTCAGCTTTAGCACAAACAAGTCGAACAAAAACCGAAATTCATTCAGAACAGTATAGAACCATTGAAAAATAGAGGAAAGTGAAAAATAAAAATCTGAAAGGATTTTGTAATTGTAAATTAAAATTAAAATTAGCTGAAAATTCAAAAATTATATACATATACAGTAAAGCAGAAGAAAAAACGAAATTTGTTCAAATCAGTGTAAACAATCCCTGCATAAAATTAAGAAAATGAAAAACAAAATTTTTTAATTTTAAATGATTCTAACTTCTTATGAAGTCTTAAGAATCGGGTTTATTTAACTTTTACGTTTTTCAGAACACCAACCGTCTGCTGAAAATGTGAAAAAAACAATGAAAAATTCTTCAATTTTTCAAAAGGAAAATGTTTTTCAGTTTCTTAGTTTTATACAGTGATGTCTGTACTGTCTTGATCGAGTTTCATTTTTATAATCTACTGTATTGTACCTGAATATTATATACATATATAGATAGATAGATACGAGTAGATATATAGTGTTTTATCGATGATGACTAACAGGGCAAGAGATAGTAATAAAGTGAGTGCGCATTTCAGCAAATGGCCTAAATGTGAAAGTCGAATCCTTTATTTAAGTCCTGAATGGCGATTGGACAAGATCATAAGACAATGCAGATGAGGTTAGTATAAGTAATGGAGTTTAGACTTCATGAAAGGGCCGTAGCCAAATTAATGTTAGTATTTTTGAGTTTCATATTTTTATCTTACACACACATATATATAAGTATATATACTATATATCTGTGCGTATGTATTTACTTTATATTATAGTGTATATTAATTTTCATTTACTATATATTCTGTATTCAGTTATATATATATAATTTAACAAACATTCTCCATTCTTAAAAAGCAAATTTAAAGTTAATTAAATTTTAAATGAAATTGAATTACAAATAAATGATTAATTATTGCTGCGAACTAATCGACAATATCATTAATTATCAGAGAAACAAAATAGGTAATTAGCGCTAAAAGCTGCTAAGTACAAACAAAATTGTTTCAAAAGAATATAGTAAAGTTAAATTAAATTTAAATAATTCTCTTGCGCCATTGCTGCAAGGAATGAAATTTGAATTTAACAAACATTCTCTGAGTGTTATATATATAGATATATATATATATATCTATAAAACACATGGTCTTATTTTCCAATGCTACGTTGATTCAAACTATCTTATAAATATTTCAGGAGTTAATTTCAAAATCTCATTGCATAGATCTGAACTAAAAATAAATTGTACAGTAATGCATTTTAGCATGCATTTGTGAATTTTTAACTTACTTATGTGAAGGGTTTTGAGTTAACAAACTAAAATATAAATGAGACAAGAGACATAAGTTCCCTAAACAAATTTTCATAATATTCTTGTTGCATAAAAAGCGTTTAATGTTGCTAGTTACAATAGATAAAATTAGAAAATGTGATGAAATTCATTTTAAGGAAAAAATATTCTTAAATATTGCGTGCAGAGCAAATTCTAAAATAGGCTTCAGAACCACTCCCTTTTAATAGTTCTCATAATATTCTTCTTTTAAAATAAATACATTCTAAGCCATTTTTTATTCAAGACAATCTGTATTTTGAGAAGTGTTACTATAAATACTCTTATTTTATATTTAATAGATTATTTTGTAAAAGCTTTTCAGGATGATTTGAAAATATTCTCGTTCTTTAATAACAGCATTACATTTGCTGACGTCTGTTTGTACTGCAGTTATTTAGCTTTAACTAAAAATATTTTTATACCTTCGTTTCATAGAAACATTTATAAGCTTTGTTTAGTTTTAAAAAATCAAAAAAGTATTACAAAAAAAAAAAAAAAAAAAAAACCTCAGTTAAATACCTAATGCTTAAGGTTAATCATTTATATATATATAGCAGTTGGCAACTGAAAGTCTATTAGAGAAAGATTTTGGCACAAACAGTCGAGGAAGAAATATTTTTAATGCATCGTCATGCTGTTAATGTCTTCATACTCTGTTCATATTCTTCTGTATCGGAATGTATTAATTTTGCTTTTTAATTGTAGAGGATTTTGTTTTTAATTTAACTAATGGATCTTTATACAACAAATTATTTGCGAAAATAGGATCACAATACAAATACCTGCTGTACCTTATTATTTTAAGCCACAAGGGAAATTCAAATGCTATTACAAAAAAAATTGATCACTTTTATCACTGACGAGTATTTACATAAATTTGTATTATACAGTGAATATTCTCGTAACGACCACCTCACGAAGACAATTTCTTTGAAAGAGAATATAATTTCTGAAAGCAAAAATAAACACTGGTATTGAAAGTTACGTCTCTAACGTAACCGCATAACCAGCTTCGCAGAATATCAAAATCATCTACAATTGTGGATGGCCGGCTCAGAGAAGTTTAACTATATATGCTTTGTAATACAGCACATGTCAACTTGTATAAAGTTATTTCTTTGCAAAACAAATTACAAGTTGTAGAGTTTATATTTATATTAACTAACATTTATTTTAAGTTTAAACTATCTTTCCTGTTAAGCCTTACTTTCCCCTGGAATTGCCAATGCCAGAGTATGTAAATTTTAGTAGAACGCGCAAAGTGTTCAAATTGTCAGCGGAAGTAATTTGAGTTAAATAGAAGGAAAACGAGTTCGAAGGTGTCTTCTCTTGCTTCACGAGCGTGAAGGTGGCTAGGTAGAATTTGAAGAACCACGCGTTTCGGCCTGTGTACTTTCCAGTTCATAGCAGTCACCACTATTGTTGCATGCAGGTTGCGGCCGCGCAACATTACATTGGCGCCCGAACACTTGTCGAACTGAAATGGCCGAAAACTGGATGGAAACTGCTGGACAACAACAAGAAATGGCAAGCCAATTGGAAGGATTTGGATACCTGGTCCAGACGATGAGAGCGTCAATCAAGCCAAACGTCAATTTCGACGGAAAAAAAATTCGGTGGCGATATTTCTAGAAGGCCTCGAAAATCACTTCCAGCTCTACCCTGTGCCTGAAAGACAAAAAGTTGCCATCGCCACATCTGCACTAAGAGGACAGGCCTCGCTATGGTGGAAGAATATAGGCAAATTTTTATTAGGGGAATTCGGAGGCCAGACATATACATTTGAAAATTTCAAAAAATCGTTATTAAAGGCCTTCCCCATAGTGAAAGATCGAGCAAGGCTAGAAGCCGAACTATATAGTTTTTATCAACGGAATATAGAAGAGTTGACGGACTTTATTCTGCGAAAAATTAAGCTGACGGATATGCTGTATGGGAAGAAACCCGACGCGGAGATTATTGAAATAATCTTACCAAGATTGCTACCTGCTGTTCAAGATTACTTCGAAATTAGAAACCCAAGCACATTGCAGGAGCTCTTCGAATTGGCGGTCAAGTTTCAAAATCGCAGAATAGCGGAAAAAGTTAGAGGGGCATCGTATTCTCAAAGTATCCGAAGGCAATCTTCAAATGAGCAGACCAGAAATGCAAACCGCTCTTATGGGGGAAAGAGCTATCAAGCTAACTCATCGAAGCTCGAAGGTCAAGGCCCAAAAAGGAAATTTGAAAACAAACGTCCGCGTACCCAGAAGGCAGAAGTTGAAAGAAAAGCTTTAAACGAGTAGAGGGGCCTGTGAAAGCGAGGGTCCAGACCCCGGAAGTTTTGAAAAAACCCTCAAAAAGACACTTAAATACGGTCATCGTAAGGAACTCACAGTTACCAATTATACAAGTCCTGGTTGGCGATGTACCAGTAGAAGCCCTCATCGATACAGGAGCAGAAGGTAATTTTATGAGTGATATTTTTTTAAGAAGAATTTTAATAGGTTACGATTATTTAAAATAAAAACACAGAAATCATAGCAGCGCAAGGACAAAACTTGTCAATGTATGGAAAATTATCATTAAAAATACAGGTTCAAAAGGAAAGCCTTAAAGTATTAATTTTTGTAGTAAAAAATTGCAAAAGTCCACTTATTTTAGGTATGGAGTTTTTAAAAGCCGCGAAGGCCAAACTGAATTTTCAGGAAAGTTCTATTGTGCTGGAGATGGATCGGAGGGTGGTGGAACCAGTGGAACAACCGCAAGTTGACCTTAGCCATTTGAATGACCATGAAAGTCAAGCCATCCAGCAAGTGGTGAGTACTTTTTCAAACTTGTTTTCAGAACGGCCTGGTAGCTGTCAAATAGTTACGCATGAGATACAGTTAACTGCCGACAAACCCTGTAGGACTAAACCTTACCGCTATGATAAACAAAAGACCAAATCATCGAAGAACATATTCAGGAAATGTTAAAGAACCAAATAATAACGCCCATAAATAGTGAGTACGCGAGTCCAGTCGTACTATGTAGGAAAAAGAACGAGTTTCCTCCTTCGGATAAAAGGGCTTGGAGGTTTGCTATCGATTACAGAAAACTTAATAGTATTACTAAATTCCCAGTTTACCCTTTGCCGGTTATAGAGGAAATTATTAGAAAGATTAAATCTACAAGATACATGACTACTTTGGACTTAACGTCTGGCTACTATCAAATAGCTATGAGACCCGAAGACATACATAAAACCGCGTTTATAACAAAATCGGGCACTTATGCATTTTTACGCATGCCCTTTGGGTTGTGTGGGGCCCCATCAACATTCCAGAGAGCTATGGACATTGTTCTAAAGCCTGTCCTAGGAAAATCGACTTTAATCTATCTAGATGATATAATTATAACGAGTAGTACGTTGGAACAACATATTAAAGATCTAGAAGAAGTTTTTAAATTATTAAAAGAGGCCGGTCTTACAATTAACGCCTCAAAATGCAAGTTCGCAACTAAAGAACTTAAATATCTGGGTTATAAAATTTCGCAAAAGGGTATAGAAACTCAAGATTCAAAAATAAAAGCCATCAAGAATTTCCCACCTCCCAACACCGCCAAGAAACTTTCTTCTTTCCTTGGGTTATGTTCTTATTATCGGTCATTCATAAAAGATTTTGCTAATATTGTTGAACCCTTGTTAGTAATTAAAAGAAAGAAAAGTAAATTCACGTGGACAGCAGAAGCAAATACCGCATTTGAAAGGTTAAAAGAAGCGCTCATCAATGCCCCTGTTTTGAAATTCCCGGAGGGGGACGAAAACCTGGAAATTGCAGCAGATGCGTCGGACTATGCTGTGGGTGCGGTTCTTATGCAAAATGGCCATCCTTTGGCATTTTTTAGTAAAACGTTGAATCTACACAAAGGAATTATACAGCTACAGAGAGAGAAACATTAGCCGTATTAATGGCTGTACACAAATTTCGAGTTTATTTCGGCAAAGCGCCAGTAACAGTCTTTTCGGATCATGCGGCTGTTGGTAGACTTTACTCGGGGAAAAACCTAACGCCCAGGTTAATAAGATGGGCTTTAAAACTCCAAGAATATAATCTCATAATTAAATATAAACCGGGTAAGGAAAACAATGTAGCTGACGCACTTTCTCGTATAAAACTGGACGATGAAGGCAATGAACTTAAATGCGCTGTGTTGACTTCAAAAATTTTAGATTCTAGAGATACAATTATTGCTGAATTGAAAGCTGATCCTGAATTTGGAAGTATCTATGCGTATTTGAAAGACCCCGAAAGCTTTGAAGCACACAGATATCGATGATGCGATAAGAAATAGAGCAGAAAAACTATGAAATAATAGATAATTTATTATTTTATACGAAAACAACAAACGAAAATCTCGAGTACAAACCAGTCATCCCAGCCTCGCTTCGATTAAGCATTTTGAAGGAATTACACGACGCGAAAACAGCGGGTCATTTAGGGGTCAGAAAGACTTTAAAAAGGGTACGCGAGGCGGTATATTTCCCGCAATTATACAAAATAGTAACTGCGTATGTCAGGTCCTGCAATCAATGTCAGTTAATAAATGATATTAATTACAGCCCGGCCGGGTACTTAAATAGCATTCGCGCTACATTTCCGAATGAAATTTTAGGCATAGATCTTCTTGGTCCTTTCCCCCAGAGTGAGTTAAATAAAAATCGTTTTCTTTTAGTAATTGTAGATCATTTTTCAAAATGGACAGAAATTGTTCCACTTAAACGCGCGTCAGCCAAAACAGTCGCAGATGCATTCTTACACAGATACATTTTTAAAATACGGTGCACCGATAAAAGTCATTAGCGATAACGGTAAACAATTCGTTAGCCAAATATTTGAAAACATATGCACTGGACTTGGCATACGCCATATCAAAATGGTTCCGTATAGACCACAGGCAAACATAGCAGAAAGAAAGAGTTAATAAAAACATTGTAAAAATAATTCGAAGTTATGTTAGCACACATCACAAGCGCTGGGATGGCTACATAAATGAGTTAGCTTATGCTTTAAGAACGGCAAATCACGATACTACGGGAAAACTCCAGCAGAATTATTTTTAGGACGAAAGTTAATTACGCCATTAGATAAATTATTCTTTGTGCAACAAAGAGAGCAAGAATTTAAACAAAAAGATGTGCAAACACTCATTGACCAGGCGGTTAAAAGCTCGGATACGGCAAGAAATAGACAAAAGTTATACTATGATAGAAAACGCCGTGAAGCAGATTTTAAAGTTGGGGGATAAAGTGTTGAAGCGGAAATTTTCTTTATCAAGTGCCCCAGACAATTTTTTACTGCAAAGTTAGCTCCAAAATTTGAAGGCCCCTATGTAATTCAGGAAATCAAGGGAGTCGTATTGTACCTTAAGAACGAGAGAGGGGAAATCTGTAAAGCAAGTCCCGACCAGGTGAAAAAAATATTATAATCAAAATGATTTTGAAATCCTTAAAAGTTTCTTGCAGGACTCAAGCGTAAAAGAAGTAGAAGGTCCAGAAAGTAACGTCACCCGTTCCACCACCCAAGAAGCAGAGAACTGAAGAGAAACCTAGCCCTTCTACAAGTCATGCGACGGTACCGAAAAGAAGAAATGAAAACTTTCAGACTCCAGCATTTAAGAAATACAAGAAAGCAAAGCCGCCGCGTAAAGAACTTTGGTAAAGAGGAAAACACCACTTACAACGTATCGCAGTAGTAGAAATTCTACATCGAGGAGAACGCTTCCAGGGCCAGAGAGTCAGGTGCAAACAAGGCCGCCGTTCCCGAGAACGAAAAAGACACAGGAGGAAGAAAAGACAGCAGGAGGAACGAAAAGACCACCACCAACAGAAGAAATTCAAGCACGATTCCAGACCGGAGGACGCCAAGACCAGCCGTCCAGGGGCAAAACGGAAAAGACAGCAACCCGACGACTACCACTCCAAGAGGCCAGCATGCAGAGGGCGAAAAAGAAAAATCAACATGTGGACGACACTCGAAGGACCACTAAGGAGAACGACTGACGTCGATGAATTCCTATAACGTGGGAGCAGTTCTGCCAGAAGAGGATGTCGGAGTTCCAATCATCGAAAACTCAAAGATAAGTTAAAATCTTCTATAAAATTTTTTTTCTTTTGTTCCGAAATGTTATGCGTAAATACGAAGTTCTATGTTTTGACGGAAGTCAATTTGTCTCGGTTGAGACTTAGTTTTGTTTTACTTTATTTAGCTAAGGCAAAAGTATTATTTTCTTTAAGTATAAAATCTAAGAACAAGCAGTTTCTGTTGGTCGAAAGACTAATTCTGTTATGTTAAAGCCAAAATTTGGCCGAAGATATAAAATAACTTCGTATTCTTGTATTAAAGAAATTTAGTTTCAGTGCCGCCAGCTTGGCGAAGAATGAGTAAAGTAAAAATTTTTATTTTCTCTTATTCATTTTATGGTAAATTGTAAAAATCATATGGATTAGAATTTTGTAAATATACGTAAATACTTGAAAGTTATGTAAAAGTAGAATTTAGTCTAGAAGCATAAAATTTTAGATGCTAAAAGTAAATGCTCAAAAGCAATGAATTCAAATTTAAGTATTAAACTGTAGATAAAATCATGCTTTAGAGCGAAAGCCTGCATGTCTAAAGATGAATGAGGGGGAATTTAGAATGAATGTGTTTTGTAGGGTTCTCCACCTACACTTGAATTTTAAGAATGTTAAAGTAGCTCATCGAGTTGTAGAATGTCGAGTAAGGTGTGTCTATTTGGTCGTTGAATTCTAACAAATCATTGTGGTTAGGGGAAGTGTTGCAATACTAAAACACGAATATTCCCGTTTGACACCACACATGGTGGAGAGCCAGGGTAAAGTTAAATTCATGTTTGAATACTTGAATGAATGTGAATTAAGCAGTAACTAAGGAAAATAAATCGTTCAAAAACAAAAACTTATTCAGTGTCAAGAAAGTGTAAATTATAATGTATTTAGAAAGATACTGATACTTATTCCTTCCAGATGCTGGAAGGAAGAGAAACAGATTGATTGCTGAAGTCCAGGAAAGGTTGCTGTAAGAAGAGAGAATTAAATAAGTATCTACAGAAATTTATTCTACCTTTTGTGAGAAAACAGTTTTTTTTATGTAAACGAGGCTCTTAAAATTTAGTTCAGAATTGTGGAAACTTTTCAACAGGTCGTTTCTAGGACCTGCTTCCAAGTTTTACCAAATTCTGGCAGCGGCAAATGTAGGGTTTATATTTATTTTAACTAACATTTATTTTAAGTTTAAACTATCTTTCCTGTCAAGCCTTACTTTCCCCTGGAATTGCCAATGCCAGAGTATGTAAATTTTAGTAGAACGCGCAAAGGATTCAAATTGTCAGCGGAAGTAATTCTGAGTTAAATAGAAGGGAAACGAGTTCGAAGTGTGCTTTCTTGCTTCACGAGCGTGGAGGTGGCTAGGTAGAATTGAAGAACCCGGTCGGCGTGTTCCTCCAAATTGTTAACTTAAATACAGTTTGTGCCCTTCACAGTATAATTTCTATGCTTCGTTATGCAGCATTTATAGTGCAAAAATGCGAGGTCACTGGACACTAGAGTACAAATTTGGAGGAAAAGAACAAGCAGTTAATATAAACTGGCACAAATAAGGATTTTGACTAACCTGAGGGATTTGGCAACAAAGAAGGCACTGATGCTGGACATACTCTGGTTTGTCGAACTCTTAAAATAAATCCAGGTCTTGTTACAGCATGATCCGATCGAAAAATAATCAACTTAGTACGATCAGCAGGATGAAAAACGTAATTTCCTTTGAATAAAACAAAACGTATTTTTAAATAATAAAGAAAAATGTTGAAATTTTTCATGCCATCATTATAGGGTCATTAAATATTTTTTAAAGAAAACTGAAAAAAGCGGCAGTAATGTACTTACTTATAGAATTAGGAGGAAGAATTCCGCACAGTCTTTCTCCGTCGATGTCTAAGTAATCTCTCTGACATCTGTAATAATCTTCCAAGTCAAAGTTCACGAATGTTACTTCGAGACCACATATATCAGAACTGGAACGGATGACCACATAGCGACAATGCACGTCGGTCGGGTAATATAATGGATGATTGGGACTGTAGATGGCAAATTCTTCAAGGCCAAAACTTTGATCACATCGAATGCTAGAAGGGGGCGCATCATCTGAAATGTAACAAGGTCAATAGTTTTATAACATATCGATTATAAACCAAGTAATTCCAGAAAATATATACTCAAAATTTATCGTAGACTGAGTAAGTTACTATAATAATTCAAGTGAAAGAAAGTTTGGAAAAATCCTGGTCAGGGATTCTTTTCAAGTTGAGAGATTAATACGATAAACAGTAAGATAAAAGGGAAGCGCAGATATAATTTATTTCTGAAAATTTTCTCTCGAGCTGCTAGTCCAGAGGGCGCATCGAAAGTTAAGCTTTATATTATGTCATTTTTTAAGAAAACAGGCTATTATTTAGCCATTATAAAGCATAACCACTTTGGCATGAACAGCTACTACTTTGACCAGCAACGAATATCTTTATCAAAGTAGTAGTCTGGGCCATTTTCTTCTCTTTCTTAGCCATTTATATAACATTTTACATGTTCATACAGTATTCTTTCTAATGATGTTTGGAAGAAAATTTATCTTACTATGAGTTCTCCCAGCATTATCCACAGCCGGATTGCCGGGCATCACTGCTGAAGGTGGAGATCCTCCGCATGGAACTTGGCGACCTCTGATGAGAAAACCAGCCCCAGGTAGAACATGATCTGCGCTGAAGTGGATCAATTTCTCTGATGTATGAAAGTCGTATAAACCTAAAAATGTAAAACAGACAAGTGTTTATTAATTTTTAAAATATCATTAAACAATACCATGGTAAAATACTGAAATAATACCATTGAGTATGTTTATTTAATAGTTAGTAATATTCTAAAATTAGAACAGTCTTAAATATGGAATAACTACCTCCAAAAACATATTTAAGGCATTCCGACATAAGCGTTTCTATTTGGCAACTAATTTATAAATGACGCCCTTCAAGTTAGGAGAAATTGAATAGCTTGCAGATATATCTGGTCTTCTAGTTTATTTTCAGTAACAAATTTATTGCTTATAAAACAAGCAAATTTTTAGAACCGGATAGAAACCTCTCATTTCGTTTGACATTACTTCTGGTGTTATCACATGAAACTTGATAATTTTCATGATTTTTGGTACATCCAAGAAAGATGTCCAAATAAGCCATTTTTATGCTGTTGGTTTAATGTCACTATAACGTATGTCATGTTTACACATTACTATTAGCAGCCATTAAGTGCTATAAATTTTTCATGCATAGTCAAGTCATTTGTCATAATTTGCTGGAAATAACACGCTCGGTAACCGATACTAAAACACTCATGTGTTATCGTAATCGTCAGTCTTTCGGAATAATTGCGAAAATGAGTGGGAGAGTGTCAGAACCATTTCAGAAACCTCAAATCTCCTTCATTCATAAGTGGTTAATGCAAGAAGTATCGTGCAGCTAATTTTCACGAGCAACAAACATTAGCTTCCTTACAGGATTGAATTGATGCACCGACTCAAATTGAAACACCGTTGTCATTGAAAATTTATCTGCTGGGTATAATGTACTTTCAATTCAAGGACTGTAAAATAATAAAATTATAAGACTCGGGATGCAGGCAATAGTACGTGTATTTTATACTGAGAAATAGCATCAACAATTTTCAAACAGTTATGCGTTTTATTGTAAACTATATTTTTAGTTGGAATGCATTTTATATTTACTGTTGCTTAATTCTTCTTCTCTGCAACAACAAGTTGTATTATATAATTTGAGAGATTTTATTACTATAGCTTTGCAGCCATATTCAGAGAAGAGAAAACAGAACATCTGGTCCTTACAGCTTATTTTTTTAATATTCGAAAAACAATGGTTTCACTGCAACGGAAACGTCAGTAGAATTCTCAGTGTAGTAGTTGTAAATTATGAGTATGATCAGAATGTTGTTATGCATTATGTAAAGGCGTACTTTGAAATGTCAGTGCATTCTAAATACACAAAACACAAGAAATATAAGCAAATATATTGTTCTGCAAGATTATTATCGAAAATGAAACCTTACTTTAACATAAATGACGGTTTTAAATTGCGAAACGGAATTACTTACGAACAGTATAAGGTTGGATGCTTCCACACAATCTATCAGCATCGATTCTTAAATGACTTGCATAGCAATGTCTACTGTCAGGAAGTTGAAAGCGTTCAAATGTCAGTTCTAGGTTACATACAAAAGGAGATGATTTCCTTACGATAAACCTACAGTCCACGCTCGAGCTTAAACCGTGAGGATAATAAGGGCTCCTAATCTCGAATCCTGGACTGGCAAAAGTTTCATCGCAATTAGGAGGAGGAAGTCTTGAAGGTGGACTGTTAGAACCGCAGGGCATCTGCTGAACTTGCAACAACATCCTTGGGCGTGGAAGCTGAGAAGACATAATCCTAATGATCATTGTATAGTCTAACAAGTCATAATCTCCTGTAAAGAAATAAATTATGTTATTACAATACTTTTATTTTCGCGAATGCAGTTTTAAACAAAATTTTCTTATCAAATACCTAATCACTAGGACTCGAAATGCTTTCATTTTAAATTTTCTCCCACTGGACACGAAAATACGCAAAGTTAAGACTGATTTATTTCTGGCAAAATAGTTTTTAATATCTCATCTATTAAAATAAAAATGGGTTCCATGGTAAAAGGAAACCTTATCGCAAACAATAACACGTCATCTCTTAAAATTTATGATTTCATATATGTTTCGTTTGGTACGCAAGTGAGATTTGAGGACACTTTAGTTTTCGAATTTCTGATCGTCCGTATGCAGCTTATCTGTTCAGCGGATTAAAAATAATATTTTAAACAGTTCTCTGTATGCGGTTTATTCGAAACTTTTCGGGAGCTCATTTTTTACGATAAACGTTCATTAACTACAATTCCTCTGTACTAATTTTGGATTACCAGCGCCTTTTTATTACTCATCAATTATCAAGGGAAATCGAGAATTTAGAGTAATATAATTTTTAGCCCAAAGGACGCTAGCCCAGAAAGGCTATTTATTTTGTTTTGGCATTTTGCTTTGGTTCACTATAAATGTCGGTTCACTTTTCAAACTGTCGCCACCAAATATTAGAGCCCTGTATTATATTTAAAGAAATTAAATAATGAAAAATGTGCATAAATGTATGTATGTTTCTCGCATTGTGATAAAACAATGGTACCTAGAGCCATAAAATTTTGAATAGTGTAAGTTTCCAAGTCGAATATGGGCATCTGGAAGTCAAATTAGAATTTTTTTTATTATCTTTTTCATATTTTGTAAAACTTTAACGAATTTTTGATTAACAAACTCAACGATTTCAAAGCGAGCAACGGCAACACTGTACGAAAAAAGCGTTTTTATCTTCATGGCGCGAGACTTTGCATTGGAAATTCTAAACATATGCTCATTTTAAAATTATTATGTGATATTGCTGTTGAACTGAATTTTATGGTTTAAGTGCGGAGAATATCATATTTAATAAATAAAGGCAGCACACAAAATGTTAAAAATCGCCCCTTTGCGCGTAATGTAAAATCTGAAAGCTTTCAGACTTTTTCTATGATTTTGTTGAAAATATTTTAACAGCCTAGTAAGAGCAACTGAAGAGATAGGCTTATGAAAAAAATCAAGGAAAGAGAAATTTCCGTCAAACTACTTATATTTACATATAGCCTTTGACAGAGAAATTATGTGAATGTTTTCAACATCTAAGTGTTTTATATAGTGATTATACGAAATAATGCATCGATTATTCAAATAGGAAAATATCGGTAAAAGTGGAAGTGGAATATGAATGAAAATGAAGTACACATTAGGATGCAGACGACGTAAGAACAGACCATCTTAGAAATTTATTTTGGTCATATTTGATTCGCGCAGTCAAAGCTTTTTAAGCTATGTAGGTGAATAAAATAGGCTCTAATAGAGGTCAGCTCGTATGCATTTGAATTTATAAAAAAGTTGATTACTTGCTGAAAAACTACTTACTGACAGTATACGATGGTAATCTTCCACAAAGAGTGTGTTCTCCGATTTGGGCAAATTGTCTTGGGCAGTCTCGACCGTCTCCGAGATCGAATGTTACAAACGTAACTCTGATACTGCAAGTATCTGAGCCCAGTCGATGTACTGTGTACAAGCATTCTACAGTCTGACCATAGTCCCCTGTGGCGCTCAAGTCTGGCCATTTGATTTCGAAATAAGGTCCAGTTAAGTGACCCCCACAGGAAGAACCCGAAGGGGTAACTTCTGGTGAAGAACCTAAAAATGCCAAACATTTACATATATGTACATCAGAAATACATATATATGCATATGTATATGTATGTAAAATATAACATAGGAAAGACAAGTTGCATGTAGACATTTAAACTCTTAATTTTAATAAAATGCATCTCCTCTTCAAAAATACGTGTTGCACCAGTTTGCGCCATCATTTCTATGCATTGCGAAAACTCTTGCTCAGTTGCTCTCCAGAACTCAAATAAAGAACTTCGCAGTATAACTATTTCAGCTGTGTAGATGACTGGAATTCTTATAAATCACAGCTGGTTTGATAGTTAAGACACCATTTTATTTTCAGGACTTAAATTATTTGGAAGCACATTCTGCAGAGCAGTCCGCACTATTCGAGCAGTCCGCACTCTACAGTTTTATATAGGCTATTACGTTTTTAACAATGGCAGATACATGAGAGGAGCGAACAGGGATTAAGGTAGGCGACGTGCAATTGAGAAAGCAAGCGCGCACAACACAGCTGAATAAAATGATGTGTTCACTACCAAGCTAGTGTTGAGATTTTTAAGTGTTATGTAACTGCTGACGTGCAATAACACTATTTGATATCGTGCTTCACATTTGTTTTAGATTCATATTTTAAAAGCAATGTTGTTAAAATGTAATGGCCACTCTTAAGGAATACCTTTTTTTGATAGAATTCAGATGATGTAGCTTTTTCTTTAGCTGTGTAAAGGAGATAAAATTCTTTCTGTGTATATAAATCTCTGAGCTGAATTGCGAAAATTATTGCTCCTTCCAAGAAGAAGCACATTAGTTTTTGCAGATAAGTGAATTATTTCCTTTTCGTTTCATTAAGTAAAATACATTGATATATTACAGATCCGTACACAGTTAGTCACAGCATCCGAAAATTTTTTTTTTTTTTTGTTAATTTTGCTTTTATATACCGAAACAGCAAGAATTCCAGTAACGTACGCAGCAGTGTTTTCGGGCATGATAAAATAAGTTAATTGGTGCTTTCTTTAGTCAAGTTCTCATCTAATATCAAGTTATCCTCAACTGAAGAAATCGTCACGTACACAACCCAGATTATATTACCAAATACATAAATCTATTCCTGAATTATTTTTAAACCTCATTTAAAAATGGCATTAGTTTATCCTTATCTTTAGTTTTGGAAATTATGCTACAATTGTTTTAGATGCTAGTATGTATAGATAAAAACTAAACAGAATTTAAAGTGTGCTATTTAGTAATGTGCTCGTTTAGCTTATTTCTTTGGGTTGTAAATTTGAAGATTTATTAATTTTATACATTTGTGCATCAATAAAGCACATTGTTTAGTTTCGGCCTGCAATCGTAGGTGATATTCGTTGCGTTATTTAATTTTCCTAAATAGAAAATTTCATTTAAAATTTTAAAAAGACTGGATAATATTTCGAAGATTTTCAGTTTTGAAAATGGACCTAATTCTGAATTTTTCAATAATGGGAAAACCTCCTGCATCCAATACCATATAAAAATTACACTTTTTCCGCAATATGCAAATGTCTAAAATAAACAGTCTGTATGGAAAAAAATTTGAATATAGCAATGGTTATTTACATTTGATAAATAACCATTGCTATATTCAAATAATATTGTTTTAAAAGAAAATGAGATTAATTCACTTTATTTTAAAGATCACTTTGACGAACTATCACATCTAACACGCAAAAGAAATAGCAAAGAAAGTAGATGTGTCATCATATAAACTTCATTTCTTCGTGAAGGATAGAAAAATTGGTTCCAGTTCTGTTATCAGAACCGGATTCAGAAATGTTTATATACATGCATGCATGTATGTATGGATGGATGTGCATATGTATGTGTATGTATACACATATATACATGGAAGTTTTATATGTGTATGTATACACATATATACATGGAAGTTTTATATATGTATGTATACACATATATATATGCATACGTGAACACATGCATACATACACACATTTTCTGAATCCGGGCCTGATAGCAGAAGAGTACCAAAAATTTACCAACTAGAACTATTATTGACTATAATTATTAAGAACTAGGATACCAGCCTAAATGCATCAGTATTATGCAACCAACGTAAATGCACTGTATATGCATCAGTATCGTTTTGTTGATGTAAAAATTAGTCATCAAATTTTGAAATTCTATACAAACGCATTTTTGCAAAAGTAGATAATAGACGAAATTTTCCTACATTTCGTTTGTTAGCTACCGACGAATAAAGTAATATTCCTTAAGGCCTGTAATTATCATGTGCTGTGTCATTTTTACCAAGTTTCCTAAAGTGCAAATACTGAACGCATCGACATAAAAATAAATAAAATACTAAACGCATCGACATAAAATTTAGAGGCTAACAGAAATAGTAACTGATCATGTAATAATACAAAAATTGCAAATTTTGAAGTAGAAGGACGCCATTAAATAGAGCATAAAATGGCAAAATGTAAGGATATACAAAATCTTTTATTTTTGCTTTCATATGTAACTCAAAGACTTGCCATGAAGCTAAAAAATCATACATATTTTGCAACTAAATAAAGAAATACTAACTGCAATACATGAAGAAATCAATGCATTAATTCACTGCAAAACTATTAGTAAAAAGTAATTAAAATACCACAGAATATAGAAATGTTTTCTCAGAATTTTACACCATAAATAATATAAAATTGATTATTTAATCAGAAATTATTTATTCAGAAATTATAAGCATATACTGAACGGAGAAACCGTTAAATGCAGTCAGATATTTAAATTAAGCACTTTGCCTGCATTTATATCACATTTTCCCTGATGATTTTCCCTATATATTCAGACAGACTAATTAATGATATTTTAATAAAACTCATATAAAGAGTTTAATGAAAATTTCGTTTGTTATGCTACCTTTTACAAAGGCAAAGGAGCACGATTTCGCTCCTGGCAACTAAACCGAACACAGCTTGCATTATTTATGCAGGTAAAAACAGATAAATTTAAACTGTTTATACAGTTCGGCTGTACAACACAAAACAGGTGAGGTTTGTAGCTAGAACTAAATGCAATTACAAATCAAAGCGATTTAAATATTCATAATACATCAGATTTCCTTTTCTCTTGGAAGGATTTTAAGACATTTGGGCGCTTTCCTTTCCAGACTTAACTAAACGATAAATGCACATGATTTCTTGTTCTAAAATTAAGCTTTCTGCCAATAGCAATACTGAATTCGAGCAAAATCGCTAAATTTCAAGGAACCAAATTATGGGAATCCTGTAATCATTAAATGACATGGCATCCCATCATATGCATATCCAAAGAGAAGAACTTAGGTGCGTCTCAAATTAAAGATCGAGACAAGTCTACTTTTTTTACCGAAATTATTACGAGCAATACAACTGACCTTTCCTACTAGTCTTTAATAATTTTGTGACAGTTAGGTTGTTTAACTAACAAATTATTTTAATTTGCATCTTTTCTGTCCCTTCTTAATTGGTCACGCAGCTCGTTCTTCTCAGAACGTTATGTAGATTTTTTGTGATAAGTATAAATTTTAATCGGAGACGTAAAAAATTGCGGCGGAGCGAACGAACGAGAAACACGGAACCGAACTTGGATTAACTGTTAGTGATTATTTGATGGTTACTGTCGCCACTGGAGAAACAGTCCATAGGATTACCTGCCCAAAATGGCAAGCTGTAATTGAAGGTTTAACGCGTTACTATCCTTTAGAGTAATTTGTGGTTCCTGTTACACTGAACTGAATTGTGAACATTAGATTAATAGAGATTTAAATATCAGATTTAATAGAGATTTAAATTTTATTCTTCACTAATGTCCAGACAATTAGACTGTTAGCTTGTAATTAATGTCTTAATTTAAAATCTCAGGCAGAGGGCTATTAAAGCTAATCTGATATTATTCCATGTTCTTGTCTAAATGAACTTTACCACTTCACTCTTTTCTCGAAAACTCGTGATAAGAGATTGATTGGCACCTGGTAGAACTCACGCATAGCTGTAAGCTTAGTTGGCTGTTCCCAAGTACTTCCAATCTAGTACAGGTGTCATAACAGAACCCTTAAAATTATCATATAATGAATTTATGAACGAGATCCACTTTAAAGGCTCTTAGCCTTATTAGTTAGCGTTTTCTCCTCGTAAGCCGTTGGCTAAAGGTTAAAATATCCGTACTGAATACTTTCTTCCTCCACTTTTTTAACCTTCTACAAGCTACAGATTGTTTCATAAATTTCTGAAAAATTTCTAGGAAATGTTATTGCCTATAGAAAGGTATATTATACAAATGTTTACGTCAATAGTGCTCAGTTAAAGTTTCCTAAAAAGTATTCGAAATAAAAATAATAAAACATTATTAATTTCTTTACACTGCACATGAGTTCGAAAGCTCAGATTGTTTATTAGCTCAAATTTTGAAGATAAATGCTAATGTAATTAATTGAATAAATACTGTGACTACAGAATGCAAAGCTAAAGTTTATCAGGCAACCTTCTAGCCTCAATCAATATATATAACTGTATGTTGATGTAAGATAACATAATATACATGCTTTAAAGCAATGATTTTCAACCAGAAGAGAATTCCATTGTTTCAGAGAAGAATGCAGTCCGTCTTTTATTTAGTTTCAGTTTATGAATATAAAAACAGAACTATTTTTATTCATCTTTTGTTATTTATTAACATTTCTATACATCTTCTTGTTTAATGTACGAAACACATTAAAAATAATTATAAATCTAAATAAATGCAAATGTATTTTTCGGGTTTTAGAGAAGAGAGGGGGAATGCTGTTCTAACAATGGTGAAAAGGATGCATAGGCTGAAGCATATTGAGAAACATGGCTTTAAATCACAGTTTACCAGCGTGGGCTTTATCACTCGCAGGTGGGAGCTGAGAAGATCTAAGAGGCTTTATTGGTTTGAGGAGTCGTGGTTCGGGCATTAAAAAAATCGGACAGTAAGAACGCGCTTCGAAATTTCTTAGCTTTTGAGCTTCTGAAAACTTCACTTCTGAAACAAATATTTAAGCATTCGTTTGATTATATAAACATTACGCCACCCATATTTAGAAAAATCCAGCTTAATCATGTCAGCTGATCATTTATGCAAGTTAGTCTAAGTTCCATGTAATTTTCATGTTTTTTTAATCTAATGTATCGGAATTGACAAACTCTCAGTCTGTATTTCAGAAACATGACCACAAATCAGAGCTTACAATCATAGCATCCAATACGCTCATGTGGCACATTCTTTCAATATATACCACAGCGAGTACTGGTCAGGAAATCTGTACGTAATTTGCAGGCTCATTGCTATTAATATTTTAAGAAACCTTTCTATACTGCTGTTTACATTCTGAATTGATGTATCTTAATTAATAGTTTGATGCAGTGCAAGTGCAATAAATATCTTAACATTTTAAAGCCTTTTCATCAGTGCCTTCATATTACATTCAAAAGACGCTTCATACATCATTGTTGCAAACATACGGAACGCTGAGTAAATCTGTCAGAAAAAAGGGCAAAGAGTTAAGAGTGGTTGGAATACTACTCTTTAAAGGCTGAAAAAATGAATTACAAGAAATCATACAGAGCGTGTTACAATTCGCTTTCATCTACATATGACAAGTAATTTGCTTTCCAGTTCATGGTGATAGTTCAATCAAATTAACTACAATCTTCTTGGTCTTCAAACCGTTGACTGATCAATAATTTCGAACTGCATAAATTCAGATTCAGTATAAAAAATTTAATAAAATATCAGTTGTTTTTAATTCAAATGACATTTGGTTATGTTTCTGAGTATACTATATTGATGGAAATATATAAAGTAAAATAGATTTTAGAAGTTTCTAAAATTAGGTTTCTAGAAGTTTCTATGACAGCTTTCAGAAACAGAAAAGAAATGAAGGGAAGGACGGAAAAGAATACAGTGTTGTAAATTTAACCCCGAGCCTATAACATACGAGGATGAGATGCAACAGGTTTCTTCAAGAAGTTACATCTTAAAATTCCCCATCTGATGAAATGTGAAATTTTTAAGGTATTTTTAGTTCCCTTCATTAAGTCGATTCAAGAAAAAAAACCTGGATGCTTGAAGTACCTTTGGTAATGACGGTATAAGACATAGATTCTGAATTTGTCAAACATATAGTCTCTTTCTGTCTTTGATTGTAGAATTTTTAATGTTCTCACTTTCATTTTTAAAACACCTATTTCAAAGAGCATCAAATATAAAAAGAATCTAAAGTAAAATAAAGAGTAAAATCAGACAAAAAGAGAGTGCCATGCTATAAAGCTTAAAATCTAATAAAACTATTTTATGAACAAAAGGCCACAAACTGATAGGTTGATAGTCAATTAAATAACACAATATACGGATAAGCTGTGAGAATCTGAAATAGTTCAGATCTTTGATCTGATAGAGTATTTCACATAGTATGAAAAGTACTGAAAACGTAATATCAGCTACGACAAATGCATCATAAATCCGAAAATTCTAGCCAGTCTTAAAGGAAAATATATTGCAGGATATATTTAATTCATTGGGGAGGAGGAAACACTCAAGTTAAAATCAATGTTCTGCCTTGGTTTATCATATATAAGTCTTTATGATTCTGAGTATAGTATCAAAACATTTCTGAAAATCAACTTCTGCACACGTCGAAAACTGAAATGGATCAAATATGACATATTTTATTAGCCATTACAAAAAATATTTGCATCTAAGCCTAAACGAAATCTTGTTTATCAGTATCCTTCATATATTTGCAGTTGATTAATCGTTTTCGGTACTCCTGAATAATTTTGGCAAGTGCCCATTAAATATAAAATTGATGAACAACAAAAGTACAAAATAGAATACAAATAAATACAATAAAAATAAATTACAAATAAAAATAAATAGTAACTAAGAAATTAATAACATAAATGAAAGTAAGAATAGTTGAGATATATTTGCTTGTACATTTCTGTTGCCAGATAAAATAATATCAACTTGCATTTGAAAGAAAGTTTGATAATTCTTTAATTTAAACACCAAAGAATGTAAATTCTATTAAATGGGATAAGATTTAATGGGAAGAAGTCATCCTCTTTTATGCCCGTACAACTGCATTTAAAGCCATTCGTATTCTGAAATTAAGTATCCTGGGAGCATAAATCTGAAGTTTAATTTATTTGGAGCAAATAGAATGTGCGAGAAGGAAATATGCACTTTTAATATTAACAGAACTTTGTTTTGTACGTAGGCAGTGTGCGTGAACAACTACGTTTTATGAAAACAGTATAGAGAGTATGTAGATCTGTACAGGCATTTGGAGAAATAATTATTAGGACTGAAAAAAATTGTAGTTTTTTCCTTCAAGAACAGCAATTTAGCTTTTGTTGATCGCTGAGTACACATGCATGTTTTCGCCTCTAAACGTAACTTGCAATGAAAAGTATTGGAGGATTCTGAACAATGTTGCAACATTAAATTTCTTTTTCGCTGCGGCAAAGCACTTATAAAGTACTTCGATCAGCATTCAAAGTTTCCCTAATGAAACGATTAAGTTTCTTGCGTCTTAAAAATTTCCAAGTAAGCACAGAAGTGTTAAGATAAGTAGAATTGCCGTTACTTATGCTTTGTTATTGTCTTAGCTGAAAAGATAGGTTTTGAGCATTAGTGTTGTCATTGTTAATAAAGGCTCACATTCAAAACAAGAGCTTTGAGTTTGAAAGAAAATGAGAACGTAACCAAAATATTGCACGAAATCATGTTTCCACTATTGTGTAAGATAACTTGCATAAAAAAGATAAAATGCATTTGCAACCATCAGATCAGACGTAATCCAGACGTAACTCATGTGACTTACTGCTGAGTATGAAGGATTATTATTTTAAGACTAAAATAGGAACTTTACAGGTTTTACATAAAATTGCCAGGTTTAAAGAAATGCAGAATAAGACTATTTTGGCAGCTGAAAAATAAACTCTTCTTAAACATTGACTTATTATTTATAACAAGTAATGCACTTGTTGGGTTTTCTCAGTTATTCACGTTTTACAGTGAAATCTTCCAAACATACTTTAAATTTCAAATAGCTTCGGTCTTCTGTGACGATGGTCAACTTAAAGAAAATGACTACCAGACATGCACAATGGCATTATTTATCCATATTCTCAGAAGACACTTTTACAAACGATCGGCGTAAGCAATATTCCTATACTTAACGAAATACAGGCAGTGTTGCCAAAATTATTCCCAAAAAGCGAAGCTCGAGTATTGATGTTATGGATTTGTATGTTCTGACTGTGGAAGACTACAGATACATTTTGCTTAGTTTCAACTTTATTTTCGGACAATTGTTTCAGTTTTCAAGTATTTTATATTATTTTTTAATATTTAATTCAACAATTTATAATTATAACTTCAGATAATTATCTTTTTTCATTGTATTTTTGTAAGCAATTCTTTCTTCCATTTTTTCATATGCTTCAAATTTCAAAAGTTCGTTTAAAATTTCAGTTAAAGTCTTCAATGAAAGTTGCTCATAATAATCTGTATAAATAAGCTTACAATTATTTCAACATAATGCAGTTGTATGTAAATTAAAAAATATATCTCAGAATCAGCATAAAGAAATTTAACAACAACCAAATCTAAATAACCACAATTATGTTATGAAATATTATACAGGAAAGTGGCTTCTAAAATCTAAATTTCTTATATGATGGTACATCAATATAATTTACACTACTTATCAATTATTAGCCGAAGGAGCGTTAGCCCAGTAAGGCTACTAGTATCTAAATGACATTTTGCGTCGAATCACTAAAAAAGGTGTATCAATTTTAAAATTGTTTCCTTCGAATATTATCGCCCTGTACTTAAAGAAATTAAATAATGTAAAATTTGCATGAATGTATATATGTTTCTCGCATTGTGAAAAAACAACGGAACCTAAAGCCATCAAATTTTAAATAACGCAGTCCTCCACCCAAACATGGCCACCTGGAATCCTGAATTTGGAATTTCGAATTTGCTTTGAATATGAAATAAAATATCCATTCTATTTCATATTCTGTAAAACTTTAACGAATTTTTATTAAAAAACTCAACGATTTCAAAGCGAGCAGTGGCAACACTGTACAGAATAAAATATTTTTATTTCCAGCGCGAGAGGTTGTCTATCGAAAATTCCAAAGCTATGCTGGTTTTAAATATTTTTAGTCGCAAGAGGCGTTACTTCGAATGCTCTCGAAATGTGTAGGTGTGTGTAAATGAAAAACTCCCCTTTGAGAGTGATCTAAATTTTGAAAGCTTTCAAATTTTAATTTTTTTATATTTATTTATAGTTACTTAAAGAAGGAGAGAATGTTAAATTATCCAGTTAGGGACCGCTGTTTCCCGTTGTTAGTTATTCGACAGCATTTGAAACAAGATCATTCTGGCAATTCACACCGTATCGTGAAAATTACTCACCTCGTGGTAGTGATCCTGGGGCAGGTGGAGGTGCACTTCCGCAAGGCATTTGTCGGAATGAAGCATAGAATCCTTTATCTGTAATTACAGGATCACTGATGAAAGTCACGATTACTTCTGAAGCAGCTCCAAATGGTGGCTCTAGCTCTAAAAGACGTCAAAACTAACTATTTGTCTTTATTTACATCATTTGAAGCATAAATCAAAAATTAAATTCGTATTTGTGTGCCAGAAAGTTTTTATTCGAAAAATTAAGTATTGTTCATTAATTGAAAAGCAATGTATGCATAAACTAGAATAACAGTTGGGAAAGGAGACAAATCAAATTTTAGCAATTTACGCGTTCGATATAACATTTCCTAAATTTCTGCACAATTTTACTGATATAATGCAAAATAAAAATTCCATTCTATTTATTATAGAAACAATAAGAAAAAGAAATAAAGGTTTTTAATACTGATTTCCGTTATTTAATTTTACTTGTAAGTTACCTCTTTTGTTTAAAGTGCTGTACAGTAAAAAACTATTAAAAATGTTACAAATATGCAAATACGATATTAAAATGTAACTGCCAACTCATTTAAATAATTTGTTATTTACCAATATTTACGCGAAAATTAACAAAACCATCTTTTTCCAGATCTCAAGAGAGTTTAAATCCTGGTCTGAGGTTAGAAACTCTGTCTGAAATATCTTCAAGTGTTAGCGTTTCGCTTCATTATCTTCAGTTTATTTTTTACTCTCAAATCACTATGCAAGCAATCAAACCTATTTTATGCAAGAAAAGTCGAAGACACACTCGGTTTCAGGGCTAAGTTAACTATAATATCATCAAAGGCGACATAAAAGCCTTATTCTTTATTTTACTTTTCTACTGAATATCGAAATTCATTCTAAACCTACTAGCTTAACTGCTTTATTAACTTTATTGCAGATGAGGTTGCTTAAGGAAAGTTTAAAAACGAAACTGCTGTCTTTCTTTTATTATTTATATTTACAGCATTTCGGATAGCCCGAATCTTTTTTGAAAATGAATAATTTTATTTTAGGTGAGTTTTTGACAAAATATAGAAGTGATATAGAGAAAACACTTACTAGTTACTCCTCTGAGCTGCTGTCCACAGTATCTACTTCCACCTATTTCTAAGTAGTCTCTGGTACAAGGTAATCCGGGAGAAGGTGGCTCCAAAAAGAAATCCAGAAATGTAAGTTCGACATTGCAGTAACCAGGTTGTAAATGGAATGCATATCTGCATACCACACCTGCCGGATACGGAGAGGGAAAGTTTGGACTGCTGATTGAGGAACGAATCTCTGTGAAGTGTCTGTTGCAAGAACTACCTGCTGAAAGGTAAGGTTAAAATAACTTCAGTAATTCATTACTTTACTATTGAAGATTTAAACTTTTGTGCACAAGGTACTGTATCTTAAACTGAAACTCCTTTTAAAGTACCATAGTTTTTTACCCAAAATCTTCATCTTCCTGTTTTGGTGTAAAAAGCGCTTTGACTTGGGCTTTCTTTTCCCTTTTCTTTCGAATATGTATGCCATCCGAGTAGATGATAAACATCTTTGCACTATAGCATATGGCTTATATTATGGTAAAAGATATTTATGTAATCCCCACTACCCTACGGTCTAATATTTCCTAAGATTAAGATCATTCATTTATCATCAATGCAAATGGCAAACTGCCTAGCTTTCAGATGTGTTGCTATTCGATGTCCCATAAGGCCTTTAATTCACTTTTTAAATTAAAACAGTGCATTGCGTTATAGCTATAGCGGCTACTGTGCGTCCATGTCAGTTGACTGGATGGTCTCTTCAGTTTTTGGTGTGTCGACAGCCTTCTGAGTCAGGCCTCCGAGTATGCTATTTCTTTTTCATCCACTGATCCCACAGTAAAATTAGAACGGTTTAAGAGGTGGTCCATTTGCCGAGCTGACTACCTGCCATCCATCATCCTGATGTTTCTTCCCCTCTCAAACTCTGATCTCCTGATCATATTAATATTCTCCCGATTAAATTATCTTCGATGGCAGTGTAACGGCATCCATAATGAAAAGGCACCTCTCTGCAACAGGTAAATATAGGGAAAATGCTTTTGCGTACCCATTTTATGCATTATGGAGACTGAAGTTCAACGAAGTTGTTGATATTACTCGTTAGATTTAACAGGAAATGGAACCTAATTTTCCATACACGTATTTAAAGTGTATTTTTAAAATTTCCTTTGTGCTGTCTGTGGTTAAATGCCCAAGACGTAGGAGCAAGTATTGGAGATTTAGCATTTAACCGAAAAAAATGTATTTAGTAGTAACCTTTACAAAAATGCTGCTTAGAAAGTGACAAATGAAATTCGCTTCGTATTAAGTAAAAACATATTACAATTAATAATCCAGGTTAATTAAAAATATGGTATTTGAAATCTGATGTACTCATTAGAATGCCGAAATTGTATCCCTACGCACATTTTATCTTTTACTGTAAATCTCAAAAGCGCTCAAAAGCATTAAATTTTACACTAGTATGCTACCATTCAGAAGTAATTATAGTGCTGAATAATTACACTATTGAACCCTACAATTACAAAATTAGATGCTATTTTTACTTGAAACTCCTTTTTATAAGACAAAATCATCTATCCAAACATTTAAAGAGTATATTAAAATTATTATTTTTATATCTTAATATTTATATTTAAAAAAATGCATTTTTATTCAGTTTTTTAATCAAAATATGATACTTGAGCCATTTAATTATTTTGTTTGTAGAATACTTTCGCATATTTAGACTAAACTTGTAAAGTCCTTTTATATGCAAAACTCTTTCATTATATTATTGTTATTATTATTAAAAATAACTTTAAAAACTGTTATTTGTGAAAGTCTTCTTATACGTACAATGGTCTTATGTTCGGGGTAGTATAAGATAATTCATTAGTGACAAAATTGATTACTAAATTTTTCCTTACCAAAGCTATAAAAATAATTCAAAACGTGAATTCTATAAAGGTTCCAAAATGTTGTAAAAGTCATTAATTTTATTTAAAACAGTTATGTGTCTTTTGGAATACTTAAAAATCATATCCCTTTATAGTCAATAAAATATTTAAAAACCTTGTTTAGTATGAATTCTATTTTGCCAAACATTCTGCCGAGTAATCCTAAAACTCCTTGTTTGAATTGTCAAACTGTAAACATCATAATAATTCATTCTTATGCGTCGATGTTTTCGTTTCTAAATTCTGTTTTTATTTTATGCACCAATGCTCCTATTTCATCCGGATGACAGCCCTTTTGCATGCTAATGGCATAATTTATCCTTCTAAATTTCATTTTTCAATAAGTATGAAATATATACTGTAATTTCATGCTTTCCGAGAAGAAATAAATTCTGAAATTTGAAAAGAGATGATATTTGTTAAAAAAAAAAAAAAAGGTCAAACATTGATAATAAAGTTGGATGCAAAACTCCCGGTACTTAACTCTTGATGTACAAACGAAGTATCCATATGATTCATTCGAGACTTTTCCACATATATATACTTTTTTTTTTCAAAACTTACCGACGCCAGACTCAGATGGCGCAGTCGAGGTCCCGCTGTTGCTGGATCCGGCAGCTGGGGGTGTGGGAGAATCAATAGGGGGAGGGAAACCTCCTGGACACTCTATTTGTTGAATAGTGGCTGAAAATCCGGCTCCTTGTATTTCTGCATCGCTGTGAAAAAGGAAAACTTTCTCTGAAGTATCAAACCGGAGGATTCCTAAATAGAATGATAAACATTGTTGCGAATCGATTAGAAAAATCACTGGATCACGATAAAGCACATAAAAAGAAATTCATTGTGCTTGTAAAGGATTACAGATTAATTCAGATTATCTTACATATCCCTGAATTAAAAAATATAGATAATACAGTAGAAGTATTGGATAATATTCATTGAATGCCTGGTATTTTGCAGCTTTGAGTGATAAGTTAGAAATTTGTTACCTAATTGCAATTCTTCATCCTTTGCAAATAAATCAAATATTTTAGCAATATTGCCCATATTTATGATTTTTTAATATTTGAAATAAAAATAATTCCAGAAAGTAAGCTTTTGCCTGAATAGAAAATTCATGTATTCGGAAGCGGAAAAAATTACGAATTTGGGAATAGTTTTATCGATTTTTTGTGTCAAACATATTTTTAGAAGCTCTAGCAATCGGCGATTCGAGGCATATTAAAAATTTTAGAACTTCCATTTCTTTCGCCTTTAAGTTAAAACGTTACTATGAGTGCTAGTGACTCCAAACAGTTTTATTTGATTCTTTTTGCGAAATCCATACCCTAGAATTTATTTTCCAAAATATTTTTATATTTTCACCTGCAGTTGAAAAGAAAATACCGATACTCAGAACTTTCCGGTTATGTAAGCATTCACTTTTGGTCCTTTCCTCTAAAATCGAATTCAAGCAGTAAGTTTCAAATTTTTATATCATGATGTCAAGTTACAGTTAGAATGTTTACTTGCTCTAATTTAAAGAAAAGCAGTTGGAAAACCTGAGTGCAGAAATTGAAGGTTTTGAATTCTCCGATTACATATTTTGAATTCTCCGATTACGTAAAATTCAGTTAAAAAGGAAGTGATGTCTGAAAATTTAAATTTCACATCCCAGTTTAACATATGGCACAAATTAAATACTTACGATAGTTCTACTAATCTGAGATGTAACTTCAATGGAATTAAAGATACTCAACGTAAAATCATATACTTAAAAACAGTCGTTCAAAATAACAAACCCAAGGATAGAATAAAAAAAAATTCTGTGAGATTATGCCATCTCAAATTAACGCCACAGACATTTAGGCATTTATTTAACAAAGAAAAAAACTTAATTATTCAAGACATAGCTGTAGCTGCCCAACCGGGATAGTGGTTAATGATGCTGACTACCATACCTTTCAAATCCCAGAGAAGGCAAGAATTTTTGTAAATATATAGTGTCTGTACGGCATCGGGGCACACTTAAATATGCGGTGAGCCGAAAGTCCTCTCGAGAGATTCATGGAAGGGAAAGAGAGGAGGACTCTCGAATCCCCCTTCCCCGAGGTACTCTCCATCAAAATTTGGAACGGAATCAAGCAAAGTCATACTGCCACCTATAAGACGCTCAAGGCTGTCGCTAACGGCAGATGCAATCTTGCACCCCTTGCCACGATGAATCTCGTGAGGTTGTTCTGATGTTACTGTCAGACAAGTGAGATGCATCACCACCAACAGATATAGCTGTGCTTCGTTTTTTTCTCTCTTCATCACTGTTACAAAATGCTTATAATTAAAACTGTTTATACAAGTCATGTAGACACAATATTTGTTTTGCCAGAATACGAAATTAATAATACCTTCTTCGAAGAGTAAAAACATTCATTAAAATATTTAAATTTTCATTAAAACATTTATAACATTTATTATTTCGTATTTCATTTTAAAATAAAACACTGGAGGTTTTTTAACCGAGGTACATAATAGTATACGGTGTTAGATATATGCTTATTGATAACAATAACACTGCAAATGTTAGTGAAAATTATTAACTAGGTATATTATAATGAAGTGCATTTCAAATAATATAAATTAACAGTGCTGTAAAAAAGTAATAAAGCAAGCAGTTCTGTACCAGGTACGTAACATATGGAGGTAGAAATATTTTTTTTAATTACAGTAAATCTAGAAGTATTCATAAAACGTTTTATTTGGCTATTATAGGCCAAATTGTTTAAAATTATACCGATTAAGTTGTAGAGACATCAGGATTTTTTAAAAACCAGAGAGATGAAACGTTATCAACCTCCTTCGCCGGGAATCGAACCACGGACCTCTGGAATACCGTCCCAGCGTGCATAACCACTACACCACGAAGGCACGCTAGGAAAGCGGGAGAAATACCTTACATACTCCCCCCTTTTAAAGGGTGACTGGGGTTTTTAGGGAACCCCAATCGCTAAATCCTGAGTGTGGAGAGTCATCATCACAACCCTTTTAGTTCGGGCGCCACTGTAGAGACATTTGATCATTTTTGGAAGCAGAAGAGATGAAAAATTAACAACGCCTTCTCCGGGAATCGAACCTCGGACATCTAAGATACCTGCTCAGTGTGCTGACCACTACACCACGAAGGCACGCTAGGAAGGTGTGAAAAATACCTTATATACTCCTCCATTTAAAGGGCGACTGGGGTTTTTAGCGGACCCAATCGCCAAACCCTGGTTCGGGAGAAATCATCATCCACCACCCTTTTAGTTCGAGCGCCACTGCAGAGACATTAGGTATTTTTGGAAGAAGGCAAGATGAAAAATGAGCAAACGCCTTCGCCGGGAATCGAACCATGGACCTCTGGAACACCGTCCCAGCGTGCAAAACAATTACACCACGAAAGCACGCAAGGAAAGCGGTATAAATACATTACAAAGTAAAAAGCTAATTATTCTGTTTCTAAGTCAGCAATATATAAAATTAGAAATTATTTCATTCATTATAACAACACTTCCAATGTTCCTAAAATGGTCAGATGGTTATATTACATATTAAATTAAATTTAAAATATATCAATTTATTATGTTATAAAAATTAAATTAAGATTTAAAGTCAATAAGTTAAGCGTTTAGTACTATTAAACCGCTTAGCTTATTAAGCAACTACAGATTCATTAAACTTGGAACATAAATTAAACAGCTTATCTTTGCAGATTGGCAATACTTTGGGAAGTATTTTTTCAAAGGCCAAAATTAAATTGTGTTTCGCGCAATACTAAAATTTGTCAAGCTTTGCGTATGACAAATGCATGGTAAAGGAATGTAATACAACGTGTTGAAAGTAACGGTTCAACAGTTTTTGAAAGCCTACGCGTAAGACATTTATAACGTTTTACACATTAATAAATGCACAACTCACTTACATTAGCATTTAAATCTTGCATCCTGTTAAACACTATAGCTTTGGATCTACTTATGACAGGGGAGGTGAAACTTCTTAACAATAAAAGCCATATGATAAAATTAAAAAAATTGCAAGAGTTACAACTACATTGAAAAGCCGCACTTCCATATTTACGTCATTTTAAAAGTAGTGAAATTGTTTTTGAATGGAAAGAAACGTTTAAAATAAATTAATGAAACTTTCTCGTGTTTTGTGAAATTAATATGATTATATATAATTTCTTATTTCTCTTCCTCTATATTTAGGAATGTTATCTCTTACTATATCCAAAACTAAAACTTGTGTTATACTTCAAGAAGGTCCAAGTGGCCACGTGTGTGTGGAACTGAAGCTGATCTTTTCAGATGATCTTTTACATGGTCAAAGGGAAAAACCTTTTCATTCTTATCCTACCGCAATTTGAATAAGCCGCCAATTTGCTTTCAATCTGTATGCAGTGTGCTCGTCGCATCAGGTAAAATTGCATCCTTTAGCGTTAAATTTGGAACAACGTATTATAACGTTTTAGGCGTTATTATGGAAAACTAAAAGTGCTTAACTGTGTTTTTATCCAGAACGTTGTTTACAGTGAAGTTGTAGGGTCTACTTGTCTAACTAAGTGCCAACTGTACAGGAGAAGGGTTAAAAGTACCCTTTATTAACTCATTAATATTTGCAATTTGTCAGCTCGACGCTAAACGTACTACGCCTTCCTTGGGTGGTAACTGAAATCACAGAACTAAACAAAAAATTCGAAGATATGCACAAGTAGCAGAACTAAGCTACAGGGCTCAGATATTCCTGTTTCTTAAGACCGCGTCGAAACTATGCACAAGTAGCAGAACTGAGCTACAGGGCTCAGATATTCCTGTTTCTTAAGACCGCGTCGAAACTATTGGCAGCAAGTAAATGCAGTTATGCCGCGTACACCAATAATAACTCCGGGGATACAAGCTCACGCCACGGAGGTGACGGCAATAGCCTAACTCTCTCTAACTTTCCTACTGAACCTCGATTTTTAAACTCTTTCTTCACAAATTAGAATTTGAATTCCTTCACGTGAGCTACCAAATTTAAATATTCTGGCATTGACAATTAGGAGAATGAAGGCTTAGAGGAAAGTTTAAAATTAAACTTGTTGGTTAAAATAAATATAAATCCCTACAAAGTTTTGGGTTAATTTTATGAGTTGATGTTTTTGTTACCTTTACTGCTCATTGTTGCGAAAAGTTTGAGTTATGTTGTAAAATGAAATAATAAAACAACTGACCCACCTTCGTTTAATCTGTATTTAATATTATGTTTATTATTCAATTTTGTTTAATCATCATTTAATTTTGTCACCATGTCTCAAAATGTACATACAACTTTGAAGTTGAATTTATTTTTTACTTTTAAATTCCTCAAAATAGCACCTTTCTCATTGCAAAAAAAAATAAATAAATTTAAAACGAATACAGTGTAATGCATTATCTGTAAAATACCTCAATACATATTCAAGAGTAAAAGCATGCAGCTTTAGGAAATTTTAATCAAATATCGCAACATTTGTCCACCAGATTGCAACATTTTGTACCTCAAAAACAAAAGATATTAAAAATAGCAATTCAAGATCAGATTTCCTGTCATCCAACCATAATATTTTCAAATTTTCGAACAATGTGCAATACATCAAATAAATTGTGTGTAAAAACTATATCGCGTAATAACATAGGTGACTGAAAATCAGATTAGAATATCTATCAAGCTAGAACAACACTAATGAAAAATTGAGCTGTCCCATCTCGAACAAGGTTTTCAGAATCTCAAGATATTGAACACCAACACTGCATTTACAGTCTCCTTAAACAATGGCATTATGGGACAGATCTGGGACAATAATGATGGATTATTAACTTCATGCATCATCTCTTCTTCGACATCAGCTCACGACATCTGAGATGAGCTACCGGAGCCATCCACCCGAGAAGGCAAGTATGCTTAGGAACTCATTGTTCACTTTTGATTTATTTTATCCGAAAGGCATTTAAACAAGAAAAGTATCGAAATTTGTAAAACATGAGCATATTTACTCATCTTTCATTTCTTCTGCCATATCTAAATCATATTTGTATTCATAAGCTTATATAAAGTGACAAACGTTTTATCTGAATTAAGCTGAAAAGAAAATTAAGAGCTGAATCTGATCATGTAGTTTATAACACATGAAGAAAAAGGGTAGATAGTGCAGATAAAGGTGTAGAATCATTAGACTATACCGACGCAAGAATGCAAAAAATATGCAGTGCTGTTGCCGGGATTCGAACCCCGGTCATTCCGAACACGCATCGAGTATGCTTCCAGTTACGCCACGAACGCATACAGAAAGGAGAGAGAAAATACTTTATATACTCCCCCTTTTAAAGGCCGCTTGGGGATTAGGGGATACAGTCGCCAAATCCTGGTGCTGACGTATTATCGTCAACCACTTTTTCGTTCGGACGCAACTTGTAGACTCATTAGGTTATATCGATGCAGGAACTTGAAAATTGTGCAATGTACTAAATACCCGTCGAGCGTGCTTCCATTTACACCATGAAGGCATGCGCAAAGAAGAGAGAAAATACCTTAAAGGGAAAGGAAAAATATTATAAAGACGGATTTTGTATTATTCTGGGGGCATTTTTTAGCATTTAAGGGATCGGATTCAATGAATTCGGTTTTGAAACAGCAGTTATCTCGCAATAGTAGCGAACATACGTTAATTTTCTTAATTACAACTCAAACATGTTCGATAGCAATCCGTTGATTGAATTTTTTGGTGTAATATGATCAAAACTTCTGCTATATAAAGGCATCTTCAGTGGACTAGAATATTCAGTTAGTAAAACAAAGATATTTTTAGTGATATATTTCCATATTCATATATTTTTTTGTCCAATCAAAACTCCATACATGATTCTTACTGCTTCACTCTGTGCTTTATTTTGTAATTCATGATATATCATACTGGAGAGTAAAATTATAGATGGTTTAAAGTAACTTCTTCTCAAATTTTTGAAGCGTTTGTGGCCTTACCAATCAAAGCTATAAAATGTTCCTGCTTTACATTAATTAGGCTGTAATAACAGAGTAAATCACTTAACTGGACGTCTATTTTGATTCAATGGCGCAGTTACAGGACGACGGATTAGTTAAAACATGCGACTCCGCTGCTGATTACTTCTTCTGTTTCTAGATCATTCGTTATATAATTTTCAAATAAGATTTTAAACTGTATTAGTAAATTTTGAATTGGGAATAAATAGGAAACAAATAAATTTTTAATTGAATTTTAATATGCATTTTGTACATTCAAAAATGCGTTCTGGTTTATTACGTTTTATTTAAAAATTCAAGATTTGTGATCTTATAATCCAGTAATCTGAAATGAAGGTTAAGTAAACTTTTACACATACTAGTTGCAGTGTAAAAGAATAATTATTGTAATCATCTTGATCAAATAAGGTGATCGTTAAATTGAAGAATAATATTAGATAAGTATTTGAAATTGATATAATAGGGAAAAGTAAATAAAAACTTTTAAAAGACGTTGCAAAAAGAGCATTTTACGGTCAAATTGCCTATCATGGCAATTGCAATCTTCTTTAATTTCCTACTGACATAGATCTCATCAAATAAATGAAGTTTAGAAAGAAATCAGGTAATAACATAGGTAACTGGAAACTAGATTAGAGTATCATTCTAGTTACAACAATACTGATGTAAAACTGAGACGTTTGATCTGGCAACAAGGACTTCAAACAGCCTTCGTCACAATAAGGACACTATGACTGCACTTGCAGAGTTCCAAACAATAGTACTACGGAACAGATCTCGGACAATAAATGATGTATTATTAATTTCATACATGATCAAGCTTGACCATAACATAGGTTGCATTAGATACATCATTAATTTATCGTTTAAAAGGAAGTCCTGAATAAATCAAATTATAGAATTAAGCCTACCATCAATAGCCACAGCCTATGTCAATAGCGTCAGCTCTTCAGGTTTCTCATTCGCTGTTTGCATGCTTACTGAAGCACCATGCGGCCAGTTTTCCAATTGTAGTCACAGCAGGAAAGGCCTTTCTATACACTCCGTTTGGAAATCTCCGGACTTCTGATTACAGTGCAGCATGATTTTATTGCATGGTGTTTAAAAAAACGCAGTAGCATGGCTATTACCCTCTCAGCATTATAGATGTCGTTGTCAGCGTCAACTCTTTCTGGGAAGAATGAGCAAGAATGTGCTTTTTTTTATCTCATAAAGCAACTGTGACTAGTGTTTCGTTTCTAGACATGCTGTTAAGTCACATGCTATCGAAACTAAACAATAATGGTGGCGATTATATTTATAACTGGAAGACCTACACACTTTCATAGAAATATGCAAATGTTTCATATTTATGTACTTTTCCAACGCTGGATAAGACGTGATGGAAACAAGGACCTTCAACTTGGTCACTCCGTTAACTCAAAACTTCTGCTATATGAAGGCATCTTCAGTGGAATAGCGTATTTAGTTAGTAAAACAACGATATTTTAGTAATATATTTTATTATTCACACATTTTGGAATTCAATCAAAACTCCACCACATGTTGAGATACTCCATTTGATTTCTTTCTCCATACATCATGCTATTTCTTTCTTTGAGAGTTTGTTGAAGACAACATTTATATATTACCATTGGCCATGTGTGAAATTTTGCGCATGCAGTGTAGGCCAGTGATGCGAACATGATGAACCGAAGTCTGAATGAATTTGATTACCGCATGGATATGTATCGTATGACCCAAAATACATTCATTGAAGAGATTAAAAACTTTGCTGATACATACGTCATTACATTATCAGCAGCAGCAACTGATGATGATATGACGTACTCACACAGAGGGAGAAATAATTAATTTTGTTAGCTTAAGAAACTGCATAAATCTTTTACCTCGTATTTTTCAGCTCAAAATTATGTTTCTTTTTCTGTGATGACCTTTTAATATAATTTGTTTTCCACAAAGATTCTGTTTCCTTATACTTCCCTTAACATTCTTAGAAAATTTCATCAAATATGTGTTATAGTAATTAGAGTAGTATTGGTACTTTAATGAACGTTTTAAAATTAAAATTAGTCTTTTAAACATAAACAAATTCGAATTTTTTTTTAATCTGAAAGATTTCATTCTGAAACACAAACATCCATTCATCAGGACGACAATGGACGTACTAATCTAAACATTTTATTTCTAAATAAAGCATTTATTGAAACCATTTTTATTTAGACAACAATGTAACTGCATAATGCAAAAAAAATACATATGTAGATTGATTAAAAATTATCACCGCAATTTCATAGGATACAAAATATGCATAAAAAGGGTTTTTTGTATACTTCAAGGTAGCATTTATGATACTACAACCTCATTTAATGTCACAGATTTCAACTTACTTGTTGTATTACGTGGTAGACTTCCGCATAGCCTTTCTCCATCAAGAATCAAATAGTCTCTACTGCATGCAATGCTTGGCTCCAAATCAAATGACCGAAACTGTATTCTTAATTGGCATACCGATGATGATACTTTCCGGATTAGATACCTAAAACAAAAATGTTTTATTCGCAATGGTGGTGATTTCGTATAATACAAAAAGTATTCCAGTTCACTTCTGCAACTTAAGTCGCACTGAGCCATTCTTTTCAAAACTGTAAACTTTTATCCATTATTCAAGAACGCTGCAAGTTTAGTCAAGATCATAGCTTCCATGCAAAAGAGAAATTTTCACTAGTTATCTTCTAGTTCCCTGTGCAAATGCTTAATTGTTTTTGAATGTTTTTTTAACTTGTTTAAAATGCCAGTTTATAAAAGTAACACTACTTTGAATGCTAAAATGGCATAAAGAAGAGTTCTTCAAATTTATAAAGCAAAACTTTGCTGTCGCTTAAGTCACATCATCAAAGGCATAAAACCTTCAAATAGTAAAAAATGTGTTATTTTTACGCTCCAAAATACGAACAAAAATTTGGACAAAAAATAAGGTTAGATGTTTTTCTGGCAGATCAGTTTCATAATTGAAAATTTTTATGCCAAATCTTTTGCGTGAACATTTTTTAAAACTTTTTATGCAAAACATTTGGGCAAGATTGTATTATGCTTATTACAAAGGGTTCCAGTGTTTCACCGAGTGTTCGGCTTCATAAATCTAAACATTTTTAATGGGAAAAGATGATTTATAATTCCGAGTTAAATGTGGAAAGTGGAAAAGCGATTTGTGATAATGGATGAATTAAATAATTAAATAATTTCACTTTTAGGCATCTTAGCTTAATCTTCGAATGTTATTCCAATGGACTTCTGAGTGTTAGATCTGCTAAACCAAATAAATATAAGAGATAATCTCACAGTAATTTATATACATCAAAATGCTTGATATGTGTTTAAGATGAAATGCGAACAAAAAGAGGTACAGTTTAGGTTAAAAAGAGACATTACAGAATTACGGCTTTCCGGAACATGTGTATCGGGGACACAGTCCATGCCACTTATTCTACAACTGTATTTCTACTTTAAGAATTTAATGGCAAACGTAAATACGTAAATTTTAGTTTTATTACTGTTTTAATTACTTTTTTTAGTCTTTGAGTCGTTAGATTTTATCATATAACCTAAACTTTCAAACTTTTTCATGTTTTTCGTATTGTTTCTATTCTAGGACGGCGTTAAAAACTCTGTCCCATTTAATTGAAAATCTCACGGAATACACTGTATCCTTTAAAACATAGCATGAGTAACATTGCTCGACAATCACGATCATTGCGCCAAAGATGCGTTTTGAGAATTTTATTAATGCAGAGAACGATGTTGCCGCACGTTCTCCAGTAGGATCAGATGTACAAGCAGTTATGTCTTGAGACGCACGAAATGCCATCAGAAGAAATGGAGGAGGACAGTATCGTTCCACCCGTCCGCCAGGAAATGTTACGTGCCTTGGACACTGTACTGACCACTAGTTTTACGGAAGCCGTGAATACCGTAAAGTTGGTGATCTGTGAGTTCATTTTTTCAAGTTACAGTACAGTAATTAATGTAGTGATGTAGTGTTTTTTGTGACGACATACACAATATATTGTAGTACTTATGTAATTGTATATTGAAATGGTTAATGTGTAGAAAACATTATTCCAAAAATAACATTTAAGTCCCCAGTTAACACGAATATTTTTAACAAGAACTCTTGACTTCTCTTTTCCTTGAGATTCGTGTTAACAAGGGTTTACTGTATTTAGCACTCTAAAATAATGTAGGAAAAGAAATTATATACATTTATATTTATATTTATGACGTAATTGTAAAGTGTTTACCGCCGAACGTGTTAAAACCCATACGTTTCAATGGTAAATCACTGAATGTTTTGATAAACGAGGGGGTAGTGTCAACTGCATCAAATCATTTGAATGGAAGAAACCGGTCAGAGCCTCTTCTTATAATTCCTTGATCGGTGGTCAAACCCAAGTGATAACGAGTTATTTTCCACCAGATTTTACTTCAGACACAGCTGTAAACGCTATTAAGTTTCACGGAAAACCATCAGAATCGGAAGCCTGGCTTTTTCAGCTACTAGCTATGTTTACTAACCATTTGCACCACGACTACCCGTACAGGGGAATGTACTAAGAACAATAGCTGGGGATATTGTTTACGGGTATTACATTTCTAAATTTCTTTTTAATTAAAAATATAATAATGTTAAATTAAATGCTTAATACTGAGAAAAAATCTATTTAGTTATGATAAATACTGAAATGTGTCAAGAATAAATAATATACTTAAGACATATATATTATGAAAACGATTTAGATCATATTCAACTTGGATAATAGAAGCTATATAGTACTCTTTAAATTCATTCTTTTAGGAAAATAATCAGTTCTTTGAAGATTATTATTTGCCAAAAATTCATTTATTTTTATGCTGTACAAGTAAAATTATAAATAATAAAATAAGAATGCTTTTAGATGTTTGACTCACCTGCAATTTAGATTCGGTGAATAATTCAATGGATACAGTTCGCTGCGCAAGTCGAACGTGGATGCTTCGAATTCTCGATCGCAGGACGGAGCGTCTCCATTCAGTCGTCCGGATGTCGCACTTTCCGAGGCCTCGGCACAAGGGACTTGTCTGAGTGACAGCAAGAATCCGGGGAACGTGAGCCATGAATCGCTGCTGAAGAAGATTATTTTCTCAGGCACCCGGAAGTCTAGAGTTCCTAAATTTAAAATATGTAAATTAGAATAACATCTCCAATGTAAGCCATTGTTGTTTAAACTTGAATAAAACAGATCTGACTTCCTTTCATTACTCTATGTTTCACTGCCTTAACATAGAAGAATTCTTATAGAATACTTTACTTTTAACACTATTCCAATATTTATATTTAGATACTTTTTAAATGCTTATTTTGTATACATTTGTGAGTTTATATTTAAATGACTAGAATAGAATTCCAAATATGCGAACTAACTAGGAACCTATTTCGAAAATCAGAATAACTGGGTTGTCTTTTATTAAGAAATCAAATACATGTTTACTGTAAGAAGACTAAGCCAATTTTATTTTCTCCCATGTCATGTCGTATTTTATTTCAACAAAGCTTGTACATGTAAGAAAATATTACGTTATAAACTCAAGGGATACGATTACATATGGTACTGTCAAATGAAAAAAGGGCCTATTATATTCTGCCGAGATATGGAATGGCCAAACGTTTTTAAACATAGCCTTAACCTCGCTGGTCTGAACAGGTCTGAACATTGTGCAGCGAAGAATAATAAAGCGCAATTGCATTTTCTCCAGAAATGGATTCGCATACAACTGAACGCAAGTATACTTAATGAATGTGCCGCTTGAAAAATTGCTTCGTCTTTACACCTCTTCCGTAAATGAACAACAAGCCGTCGTATGATTTTTGGCCAAAACCAATCACATATTGATATTTATGTTTCATGAAAAACTGTACATAGCGGAAGGTTTCAAGATTTTGAATACTTCAGAATAGTAGAGAAACACACCTCAAAATGGAGGATAAATACGCAGGTTTTTTTTTTCTACTGAAACAAAACAGAAGGACTTGCGTTTGGTTGCCCGCGACATTGGTAGAGTTGAAACTTCATTTCCAAACAGCAGACTCATGAGTCATATCTGTCAATTAACTGGAGCGAACCAGGATTAAACACCCTACTGTTGTAGATAGTTATTCCTCGCTAAGAAACATTATATACCTGTTTCTCTCCTGTAAAATAAGATAAAGCTGAGGCTTGTGAATTGCTATCCCATATCATCTCGATAAAAACTTTTAACGCTTCATCAGCTTTCCATCTGACCAAGCTAAATATTTTATTTCCTGGCACTCACAAACAATAAAAAATCCAACTTTCACCAGAAACCTGTTAGGAAGCAACTGAGAGAAGATATGAGGGTTATTGTTGTGAGAAGAAATTGAATAGAGAAGTCATGGATGAAACATCACAGCGTTTATTTTATTTATAGAGAATGAGAATTTATAACAGCTTACTCTAGAAGTAAGCAAAGAAAAAGAGGCATTTTCCTTATCTACTAAATGTAATTATTATTCCAAAAATTCTTGCAAGCTATATATTTGCCAAGCCCTGTAAATTTGTCTACATCTCATATATATTTTACTAAACAGTTGAGATTTTGTTGTACATTATGAAAATTTGCTCTACATTATTGTAAGTTTATACCCAAAAATGATTTTTCCATAGGGTAGAGACTCGGTATGTTTAAAGCTATGAAGATCAGATACATTTTAATGTAAAATATATATATATACCTGAGGAGCACTTTAAAGTATGATATTTATTTAACATATGAGATTAAAATTTTCTTGCATATATACTCATTTCTCATTTAGTACTAAGTACGAAGTTGTTCAAAAATTTTAAATGAAATTAAGAATTTTATTTAGAAATGAAATATGTGTAATGTTTAGTCAGGATTTCTATCTAGAGGACTGAATCATCAGTTTAAACAAAGGGTGGAATCCAAAATTGTGTTAGGGAGAAAACCAAAATGTGTCTTAACTCTCTCTCTCTCTTGCAATATAGTATATTCTTCATTCTAATGGAGCTTATTTTAAATCTTAAATTTGTTTTGATTTGTTCTTCAACAGATATGTTTATCAAAATAAATATTTATAAAAGTTAAGCAAATGTTTAATTTTTTATGTCATTTTCTTTTTTTAAAATGGCGAGGTAGCTTTTACATTGGTATTAATTTTTTCTGAACTTTTTCATGCAAGTATAATTTTACTTAGCATAATAATCTACTTAATTCCTTAACAGTTTAGCTTTTGTGTTAATTTCTTATTCAATTCATAAACAGTACTTAAGTACAGTTACGAAGACAATAAAACTGTCAATACTCCCTTTGAAAATTTATTTCATTTTTGCTATCTTGCGTTTGAAAATTAAAAATTAAAAATCGGTCTTTATCAAACAGCAAACTTAAACTACACTGCACACGTCAAAAGCAGGTTTACCTTATTTCTTTATTTCCCTTAAAAGCGAAATCTTTCTGCCATTTTTACTAACATTTTAGCTGATATTGTCATCTTAATATTCCCTCAGTTTCTTAAAAACTACTATTTTTAAGTAGCGATAATTTAAGGAAATATTCAGTACCTTCTCAACACACTAAAAAATCCTCATATTAAAAGCTTAAGTAATTATTTTAGTGCTGCAAGAATTCATTGGAATCTTATGTTCAGAAGTTTAACAAAACATCACTTATCTTAAGGTTACAAACCTGTCAAGACCATAGTCTCTCGTTAATGATCATCTTTGCGGTTCGGTGATTTTCATGCCGATTTAACATAATCCTTACATTAACATCCATTTAACATAATTTTTCGAGAGAAAAAATAATAAGGCAGACTACAGGAATATGCTGATCTGCAATTTATACTCCTACATTCATGCTCTTCTTTTTCATTGTGTTTAACGGTTTTCGTTACTTGCTAGTTCTGTGCTTTATTTCCATCTAATAGTAAATAAACATACATTAACCTTTTTTTATGGATTAAACTTTAAATAATTTGGCATATTTTAGTAAACAAGATGTAAAATTTGATTTTCACATATGCCGGGTAGGAAAAAGGAGTTCTATTTAATAAATTTTTCTCTTTGTTATCTAAGGTTATTTAAAACCATTTTTTCTATAACATTAAAAGTGAGCTTAAACCAGTTTCGCCTGTGCTTTCGTATTCATAAAGTCAGAAATAAATTAGAAAGTTGCATGTGTAGCTATTGCTAGTTGCACGTTACTTAAGCACTAGTTATATACGATTTTCGAAAATATTAACTAATGATATCTTGAGCAATTTTAATCGTATAAAAAAGAAAAGGTCTTTTTTAAAAGTGCGGCAGAGCTATTTGCTCTACAAAATTATTATTCTTTTATTGCCATTTTCTTTAGGTGTCCACATAAAAATTTAAGAAACGTTTATTTTTTCCTACAAGGTGTCATTATCTAAAATTATTGTATTTTGAATACTTGATTGATTTTCTTAAGTGGAGCCATGCGTCTAAGACCGATCATTCAAGTTTTACTGAATAAATTGCTTTTCATTCAAAATTGAATTAGCGAAAATCCTTAATTACAATGAGTTCTTTAGTGCTCTGCATTGGTTCTTGATCCCTTCAATTCACGGAAATATTTGGCCTAACTTAAATTGCCTGCTTGGCATCGCCTTATTACTTGAGTGAGTAAAGGACGAAACACCTTCGTATTTATTTCTTAATTATTGTTCATTGAACGGGATTTGGTTTGTTCCCCTTGAAAAGTCAACTAATTTCCGATCAATGACAATGATTACTTGCTTTTAATTTAATTTCTTGCTTTTAATTTAATTTCTTTTTACAAATGAAATTTTGTTATTCATGATTTAATTCAAGTCCCCGTTAAACATTTTTAACAATTTACATTCAAGTTACTTTAAAGCAATTTTCGGAATTAAACTTACTAACTATGGATTCACTCTTTTTAGATAATTCTACAAAATTAATCTTAAGAGATAATATAATCAATATTTCTTTAGTGCATATATTATTATTAACTTACTTTGCAGCTATTGCGCAAGTAGTAGAATAACTCGATTTCGCCCTAAGTGAATTTAAGATTATATATATATATAACATCAGATCCTTTAATGAAATGAAATCTTTACATCGAAAATTATATTAAGGTTCTAATATCATGGACGTAATTTATTCAATACACTGGTGACGATGATAAGCAATTTATGTGATTTTCTCGCAGTTATGTTAATTTTTAAATGCATTTTGGTTACTGAAATTGTTAATAACAATACTGGAACAAGAAGCAAGATGTTGTGCTGTTTAGACACCGTTGTATATTATCCGCTTTACGCTGTAATTCGTGTAACCCACTAATCAGCATAACCACTACTCCAATTGATAGATAATACTAATTACTGCAATTGAGAAGATTACATCCATGATGTTAGTTACTTAATATAACTTTTGATGATAATGATTCATTTCGTAAAAGGTTGTGGCGTAATTCTACGCAAATTCTCCATCTCAAATTAAACCAAAGTAAGTTACACTTAACAAATATAGAGTTTTAAAGATAAATGAAATGCTGACAAAAACTAGACATCGAAAACAGAGATTTTTATACCAAAATTATCTCTAAGTTTTCAACTGACATTCTAAACCACATCAGGCAAAAATGTTAATTCCGTTATCTTTTAATATTTAATAAAGTAAATGCACTGATTACAAAAGAAGGATTTGACATACTTTATAAAACAAGACAAATAAATTCAGTCTGTGAAACCAAATATTAGATATAAAGCCAAGTGGGAGGGACAGAACAAGAGACACTTTACAATTTAGTTTATTTTCGTCTATATCTGGTATAAATGTCAGTAATAAACCTAATGCACTACTACGTATATTCTTTTGTTGTATTTTAACTGCCATGTTTTAGCATATTCTTTCATTTTCCTTCTTCAAATAAAATAAATTTCTCTGAAATATTCGTACCATTGAGTAACAAATTTCCGAAGGCAATTACTTACGCACTTCTAAATATGGAATAAAATTACCATATCAGAAAGACAAATATCGTTGCATTCATTTTCATTTCGCATTTCGTATCAAACTATGCACTTAATTTATTTTTTCTTAATATTATTACAGAATACGTAGCAAAAACATGCACTATAAATTAAATATAAGTCTCTGAATAAAGTATTGGTTAATTTTTATTATTATATGTGTGCCAGTGAGTAAAAATAAAGGATGGCTTAAGAAATTACCCATTCAAAACTCTGCTATGCTTGAAAAACAATTATGTTAAGTAAAAAAATACCGAAGAAGAAATCGTGAGCCTGCAGCTTTGTTAGCGCACGGCGTTGCGTCAATAAGAAAAATATGAGGAATGGGTATGAATGAGAATAAAGATTTGAGTGTTTAATTTAGTTGTAATATGTAAACTTAGGAATTAGAAAAGCGTTTTGATATTTTTAAATACGTTTTAAATACATAATTTATACCAGGCCTGGGCAAACTAATGCCAGTTAAATTTTTACGTAGACTGCTAGCAATAATCATATTCTTACATCTTACTTTTTTTCTGCATTTTGTTGCCTACTCAAGTAAAATAAAACTTAATTTATAATACATTCTAGATTGCCAGCTTATGAACTATTTTATAACTTCTAGTTTTGTTCAAATTAGTGCAGAATTTCCCAGATAGCAGAGCATTCTTCATCAACAAAGTTTTATGATTTTCGAAAGATTGAAATAAATTCAGCAAGAGGTTGTAATTTATTTTAATAGAAACTGAGACTGCATCTAGTGAGCTACAATTTGAGTTTACCCATCTGTAGTATGATACTGATTTAAGAATAATGGCGTAGTCGTGAAGAAATCTTCGAATATGCCAACGCTCTTAATTCGTACAGACTCTACAGCTTAGCCTATTGACTGACGTGGAAGAATCAAGTCACATAAAATAAATGTTTTTCCGTGCCATGGCCGAGTATATACATCAGTAAACTGAAACATTTTAAACAAGAAACTTCGCTGTAAGTAAAAGGAGTTGGCAGGTTAGTTTCTTTAGACATTAAAGCCACTATTTGGGAGCCAGTATTTTATTACTAAGTCACACTGTAAGTAAAACATATGAAACAGTTATTTAATTCCGCTTGTTATGTTTATGTAAAATGTATTAAATATTTGTTAAGGAAATTTCTACTAATTTCTTTTTTTTACATCTATATGCATAGTTAGCCTCAAGCGTTAAAAAGGGGGGATAGTACGTAAGTTACGAGGCAGGGAGAAGAATTTGGGCAGTAAACATGTTATGGATTTGGCTGGCGAAATGCTAGATGTTGAATCAACCTATGTATATATGTAAACAAACATTTTGTTCACGAATTTCCGTTAAAATGTTTTATCCTCAAGCAATCCTGATGATCGTTTACAAGCAATTGTAAGAATCTCTATTACACAATTAACAATTGTATTTTAAGCAAACGTGATGAAAGATGTAAAAACAGCATCATCTGTATCATTAAGTTGTTAGTTGTTAGTTGTTAGCAATTTATTTAATTTATCTCAGAATTGAAATTTTTTATAGTAATAAATAATGCATAAAAATACTATTTTATTTACAGGCTCCACTTTTTTTTATTTCAAATGTGAACTTTCGGCCAAAATGTTTGCCCAAAGCTGATTTAGTCTACTGTCAACAATGATGAAGATTTGATGAATTAGAAAGTGATCAGTTCTAGTCGAACGTCTCCAAACTTAAAATTTCCACAAAACTTCATTTTAAGAATATGGCAGCTATTCTTGGCAATTGGAGATCGTACGGCAACAGTACGCACCATCCACCGTGTTCCCTCACCTTTGGGGGGCGGATTAAAATAATTTCTCCTCTCACACAAAGAAGGATGCAGAACCTTTGAAACTGAACGCAGACTGATCGTTAAATTTACCATCTGCTAGATGGGACTTTCAACACCAGATTATACCATGGGCAGAGATTTCAACAACGGGCCTCCTAATTAACGGGTCTATACACTCCGTAATCCTTACTCTCACAGACTACAGGAATGCCAGGTTCATGTGTTTTATACACGCAGAGCCGAGACTGCCGAAGTGCAGATCTCAGCCAGTACAGTAAACGATCCCCGGCGGGTTATCGTCGGGAAGATCAATTTCATTCAACAGCTACCATCACATCCTAAGATTAATAGCTGCTTATTGGCCAGACAAAATCGTTGTACAACTGCAAAGGCAACTGACATTTGATTTCAGAGTAGCATCTACTATGTGGATGAATAGGATTATTGTTTGCGAAAAACCGTATGAAACCGGTCTGTATGGAAGGCAATAAATGCGTTTTGCTTCTTCTTATTTCGTATCCGTTGTGGAAATTGCTGTCAAAAATATTTTCATTTTAGTTTTTGGAACAAAACTTAGTACATATAGTAAAAATTAGAGCGAAAATACATTTTATTCTAATATGAAGAAATCATTATAGTCCATCAATCAAACTGTTTTATTATTTTTAAAGCGGGTTTTTTTTTTTCATCACTTTCGTGTACTTACTTTCGTGTACTATAAGTGCTTGTTACTTATGAAACTTATGTTATGAAACTAAAAGCTTAGAAAATTTTGCCTTGTCTCTCTTTTTCACCTAACGCTTTGTCCATTAACATCCATTATCCTCTTATTTTCCTCCGAAAATTGCAGACTTAAAAAATTGGTTATACTATAAAGGAATAATCTAAAGGAATTTATAATAGAACTTACTAGATATGCCTTGAAATTTATCTCCACAAGCTCTCCAACCGGCGTCCATCTCTAAATAATCATTATAGCACCCAGGACTTCCATTCTGCAGCTTGAAGTCTAGGAAAGTGACTTTCAGTTGACAAATGTGTTCCCCCTCACGATGGATGGTGTATCGGCAACGCAGGTCGTTGCTGTAATCTCGCGGGTAATTTGGACTCGTGATCCGGGCTTCTCGGTCCCAAACATGAATATCACACGAACCGGGAGATCCTGGAATGGCAGGTGGTGAAACTGCACCACAGTCTAACTGTCGGACGTATAGGAAAAAGCCAGGTCTTGGATTGACTGAATCAGTTTTGAAGCGCAGAATCTTTTCGTAGGATAAGAATTCAGTGGATTCTGTAACACACACAAAAAAAATAGTATTCACGTACTGTTGCTAACTGCTGTAATATAGAAATAAACACATGTAAGACGAAAATAATTAATTAGGAGCAAACATTGATTGAATAGGGTGATAACTCGCAGCAGTCCTTTTGTAGGTTACATCTGTAAGATAACGGTGTGAACTTTGTGGTGAAAAAAATATGAAATAAAGAAGAAAGAGAAATAAAGAAACATATCTTCACGCATGTGACTTTGTTTCAACTGCTTGTTAAGAATCTGGCATGTAACTTAGAAAATTTTTTCTAATTTTTTTATTATGTATCTATAGTGAATCCGTAACTCAAGGACAGGAATATATTCGTAATATAACAATTTTGTGGTCTTTATAATTCGATTCTTAATAACACTTGTTTTAGTATTATTATGGATCTAACCGTTGTAGACTAAAGGCATTATATTATAATCCTTGTGCTTTCTATAGATATATGCACAAGAGAATTTGAAAACTAGCAATCCGAATTTAAAAGATTTGTAAATGTCAGCCTGTAATGTCTGAATGTCATCTGAAAAGGTTTAGGGACAAACAGCATAGAGTCCTTCCTTCATGAAGAAATTCCAAAAAAAAAAAAAAAAAAAAAAAAAAAAAACGCACTTTCTTAATTTGTTGTAAAATTTCATTAAAACAACTTTTTGGTGCATTTAAAGAAGGAAACAGAATTAGCGAACAATTATACCATGAAAATGAAATATGGCAAAAATATCTGATACTCACTAACGTTGTCCTCAGGTATTCTGCCACACAGTCTTTGCGAATCTAACTGCAAAAAATCATAAACGCAACCTGGACTCTCTTCCACGTCAAAATCAAGAAATCGAATATCTATTTTACATATGGAAGGTCTGTATCGCCGGATAACTAACTGACAATCCAGATCGTTGGGGTAATATCTTGGAAAGCCCGGACTCTCGATATAAAATTCTTTCTCGTAATAAATCTTATTGCAGCTGCTTGGCAAACGGTCTGCTACAATATCTAGAAATAAAGTAAGTCATTCATTCATTTTACATTTATGATCAAGTAATTACAAACAGTTACAAAATTGTGAGGGCGCAGCTGAAGTAAAATCAATTTTTCAAAACCGTTAAGCGTATGAAAAGTGCATAAAATTTTGATATACATGAAAGAAAATTTTCGACAAAAAAATTTGTCATATTGGTATATGATGAAACATATTATATTCATTAATCATTTGATAGACGTTACATTGCACCTATAGTTTCCTATAATTTTTGTTATCATAATATATTTCATCGATATAGTTCATCGATTTGGATCACTTAAATTATGGGAGAGTATGGAAAGGAAGGGAGAGATGCTTTAACAAAGATTTAAGAGGAAGTGGCTTATATTCAATTTACACATGCAGAAAACTATGAAAACTCCCTGAACATAGGCTCAACAATCCTACTATTTATTTGTTAGCGAGCATACATCATAGATTTTATTTTTATTGTAGACCTAGAAAAAAATCCCAAAACCAAAGAATTAAAAGAGGTAAACTATAAAAAGATATGTACCTAATATATTAATTTGCTTACAAATTACTTTTCAGCGTGTAAATTCTTAATTAATTTACCTTTTATATGCATATATATTTATTTTATAGTTTTAATTTTTAAAAAATGCATCGTAGTCGATGAGGAATCTTTATAGATAACTTCTCTATCACAGATAAAATCTTCTTCTCCATTTCAAATTTCAACTTTTAGTAAACTAATTACTATTCCTTTTACACCAGCGTAATCTGTATAATTAAATTTTAATCTTTTTCAAGTTTACATACTATAACGATAAAACTCGTATGCAAGTTTTTCCTTTTACTTAATCTCTGTTTTCTTCATCATTAGTTAAACGTGTTTTTCAAAAAGCTGTGATTGGGTCAAATTGTTTCTGCAGCAATAATTTTTTTAATTTATTAAGTGTAGAATATATTGAAATTTCCGAATTTAATACACAGTGAAAAGGAGAAATAGGTTTGCATTTTCTAGACTGAATCTAAATTATTAAAATTAATCACAAAAGAAGTATAGTTTTTCAAAGAATGAGAAAATATCAAGTGTAAATAGACCTCAATTATAGCTAATCTTATCTCAAAGAAATATGCAATATTATTATTTAATAATGTTATTTGGTTCTTGATTTCTTGAATTTTAGATGAGAACTTATAATAGATATTAAATTTTACTTCTTTATATTAATACAGAACTAACTTTGACTCTTTTAATTGCCTAATAAGCGTAACTGTTTTTAATAAGCATACGAGAAACCTACCTGTTCCTCCAGGTGATCGAACAGGGCCTGCAGGTGGACAAACGAGTTGACGAAAAAGCAAATGGAAACCTCTATCCATGCGAACGGTATCTGTCTTATACACAATATGAATATTTCCCAAAGCATCGAAGGTAACATTTTCTAGAAGAAAAAGGGACAAATATTAAATTTAAAATTATAACACATGCATTGAACATGTTTATTTGGTATGTTATTGCCTCCAAATTAACATTTCATGATTTGGAAAGTCTATATTGCTTTCTAAACATGGCATTACTGAAGCCTGAACAAATATTTAAAAATAAACATATATATTTTATCAAATACAGATCTTGAGTATAAAAAGCCAAAACGTACAATATGATAAAATACACTTGTGCTCAAAAAATAAGCAGCAAACACTAAAACAAAAGGTACAAATGTAAAAACAGGAAGTGAAACATACAATTAACATATGAAGTTTAAGTTGCGTCGCCAAATGCAAATAAGCAACCAAAATTAGTATAAAACGCAGTCTCGAAACCCCACCACAACGCCTTAAAAAGGAACATTCCGGATCTATACATCATTTTGCAAACCGTGATAGTTTCGTGTAATCCAACATAGCCAAATCGGAAAGCGTAAGCCGTAGACACCATTTGCATTGGAGGGCTGACGAGATGTTGCAAACTGGTACAAGACCATCCTCTATTGCGAGAGAGCTAAATGTGTATCGCATCCTCATCAGCAGGCTGTGGAATCGTCACCAAAAAGATCAAAACTCCTTCAAAAGATGTTTGTCAAGACGTTGGTGAATTACCACAACGGCAGACGAACGCTTCCTGTTGCTATGGACAAAACGCCGTAGATCACTAACAGCCCGACAACTGGCATCGTATCTCTCGACTGCTGCAAAACGGCTCATACCCCGCCAAACGGCTCGCGTCGACTGCAATGAGATCCTAATGAGTCTACAGGATAACTTCTTATACTATTACTGCGTTAAGAAAAGAATTTTAACTGGAAAATCAAAAACTGTTTGCCGAAATTATTACATTTTGAGCTGGCATCATTTTCTTAGTTTTTCCTAGTTTCGTAAAATTTTATTTTCGTGCATTAAATTTTGGTTTCAATGTCAAAGATTATTACATTTTGAATAGCCGTTTGCCAAACATATTGAAATATTTTGTGGAGCGTATATTATTAAGGCCCATAAGTCGTATATAAGATAGCCTGAATTCAACAGTAGAGAGCTAGACAGGCAATTTAAAATGGAAGTCGCGGTTAAATTATTTTTACTATTGCTTTTGCTGCAACATGCTGCAATTTTTTCACTGAACATTTACTATTTCGAAATACATTTTCGCTTTCATAATGTGCATGCTGATTACATTTTATTTATTTATCCTTTAAGTAAGAAAACAATTTTAAAAATTCGTAACCAAAATGATTTTATTTAGTGTTTAGCAAATCAATGCTGATATTTGTAATAATAATATATATGATATATGTTTCGGATAAAAAGTAAGAAACAGTGAGACATTTTATGCACTTTCCACTATGTTCTTAAAAACTATAGTTGTTGTAAGAGAATTGTCGAACAATAAGTGAACAGTGAAAAAAACCTCAGGTAGTTTAGAAGCGCAAACTCTTATCAAATCTCATCCATCCTTACTTTATAAAGTAAATGACCTAAAAAATAATTGAGAATAGGTAAGCAGGTAGAGAAACAATGCATATAGCGGAAATACAATAGCATTCTGCAAAGTAATTAGAACTAGAAAAATGTATGCATTTATTTTGCTGACGAAATGTTAAAGACTATGTCAAAAGGATATTCTTTCTTCTTGTGTTTTATTCATTTACAGTTTTCAACAAATGTACAAAATATAAGGGTTGAGTTACGACTAGAGATTAAATATGACAAATCAATAAATAAGTGCTTTTAAACTATATAACAACATTCATATTCATAATTGTTTTTCTTATATGATAAACAAGGAAATCTCAATTACTTGTCACTCTGGGGATCATCGTCCTGAAGGATAAGCAAGCAGATTGATAACAGAAACTTCTCTTATAATAATCATCATCAAATGCATAGAATCGATTACGACGATACATTTTAAATATTATATTGTAAATTTAATGTTATATTATATAGTACTAATTAAAAATCAAGATTAGAAGTGAGAACTGGTCACTTTATTAACTCCTTAACCTACTTACCTTTTATGCGCTGTAAAACTATGATATGTAACTTTTGACCCCAAATCAATCACTAATGATATCTTATATCAGCTATATTATTTTTTCCTTCATTCAGCTATATTATTTTATATAAATATCAGCTATTATTATTTTTTCTTTCAATGTTTCTTTCAAAGTTTTAAATTTAATTTAAAGCAAAACGTGGTCTTGTATTTTTTATCTATCTAAATGTTTGGATCAAATATTCAGTTCACACTTTTATTTAATAAGATTTCCTTTTTTTATTTCAAATAGTGTGTAATTAAAATAACATCACATAATTAAAAACTAAAGAAATAATTTTCAGTTAAAATTTCGTGTTAATGGTGCATGAAGTTTCTGAAATTGTGCTGTAAATTCTGCCTAAAAATCACAGTATCCTATCATTGTATCCGTAATCACGGTATCCGTAATTTTTAATGGATTTTTTCCCGTGCATTTATAATTAACACTATAATAGTGTATACTTTGGAAACGTATTTTAGGCTTTTATTTTTAATATTAGAACAAAACAAGGAAATTCTATAATACAATGTAACTTATTTTTTTAATTTTATTAGTTACTTATTTATTTTTAATAGATTTATTCATTCCATTAGGTTATCTCAGGGATTGACAGATAACAGAAACTGACGGTTAAATGAGTGAAAAATCGAGTTTTCTCAGTATGCGCAAACTTATACCGGTTGTACTCTGGAAACAATATAAGTACTAACACTAGTTTAATGTGAATTTGTTGAGAAACATAAAGACTCTTTTCAAAAATAGAGCGAAAGTTTCTCCACCTATATTTATTATTATACTTATAAGTTTATTAATAATTTATTAGTTTTAAGATTTAATATTTATTAATTTTGAGTTGCTTATTTACATGCATACCATTAGAGATTTAAAATCAATAAACTATCCGAAGCTCAGAATTGTTGTTGTTACGTATGGTTTTATTGGAATAATTAATCCATACTTTTAAAACAGCTCAAGTGTCACACAAGAACAATGATATAAAATAAAAAAAAAAACATTTAAAGTAAGAATCCGAACAGAATTACTCGTATTTGTATTTGAGTTGTTGCTGTCTGATGCTCCTACTCCTTTCCTTTCTCTAATCTAGCACTTACTGATATTTCTTTTGTAAGCTTCTATAGAATACACGACTTAATAAAAACTATACATGAAAGCAAAAACAAATCAGACTAAGAGTAATTTTACTAATTATAGATGATGAGAGTAGAAGGTTTATTTTAATATTAATGTACTGTATTAAAGCTCTTTTCCACTTCTGTTAACCTCAAGTTTTCCAGAACAGCCAAGGCGAATCTAATCTAAGTAGGAGAATTTGGCAGCTTAGACCATGAGCGCTGGTTCTACCTCTGAAGTACTGAGCTTACCGTTAATGAGTTTGACTTGTAGTTTCACTGGAAGGCACGTTGACGTAGCAATCGGTTCTTAATCCTCAATATTTGCTTTAAAAAACATTTGTCGCTACTGTCGCATTCTTACTCTGTAAGATGCGAATGTTCAGTTTTATTAAAAGCTTTCGTTTTGTAAATTCAAACCGAAAAATAAATAAATGCTTCAAATACGCTCTTTGTTATCACTTTATGTTAGTAGATTCTAAGATCGACAAGAATTCTCTTGGAAAGTTAATGAAGTTACTCAGCGTTTAAATTCTGTACAATAAGGATGCAGCCTTAAAACAGTTGCAAAGACCGTTAGAATTTTTTTAGCAAGAAACGCGAGAGAGCAACTGTTCCATCGGGATTATTCGAAACACAAATCTCCCAGATGCCGCCCTAATCATTTACATCACAAGTGCACACCCGAGTTTCCATTGTCCTTTATCTTATCCTGCACTTAAAAGACGACCAGGAAGGAGCAAAAGCCCCACTCAATCAAATCTAGGTGGTGATGAATTATCGTTCTCACATTTTTGTTCTGCCACTCCTACAGAGACTATAAGACACGTCGAATGAGGAACTTGAAACATCAGCTATGCGGCTCGCCCGGCCCGGATTCGACGAAGGATATTTGGGCAAAAATAAAAATATCTTTGCAATGGTGTTACTCAAACTGATATCGTCTTACGAATACTACAAAGTATGTTAATGCTTGAGTCTAATCAGTCCTCATGTGCATGAAAGAGTAGCAAGCTATATAAAATATCGTATTAAATCAATTGTTACTTACTCCTTTGGCCTCTCAGTGATGTGCCACAGAATCGATGGCCGTCCAACTGAACGTAGCTGCTGATACATCCAGGAGAATAGTCAACGTTGAAATCAACGAAATCCAATTCCACTTGGCAGTATCCAGAATGCCGCCTTCCTATAGTATATCGACACACTGGATCTCCAAGTGCATCATCTGGAGTACGATGTGTCACGAGCTCTCCAGATGTGTCTGTTATTAGGACATCACAAGCATGGATTGCAGGAATTGCTAAAAATGATAATTATTCGTTTTAAATGAAAGCAAGAAAAATCTAAATTTAATAGTAAGTATAATTTAGAGCCAACTACGAAATTAAAATAAATTATGTCTACGCATTAGTTATCTAATAAATATCAAATAATATCTAATAAATACCAAATAATATCTAATAAATATCAAATAATATATCAAATAAATATCTAATAAATATTGCTAATATTTTTAACCTCAAATAGTCATATAAAATCATCAAATAGTCATATAAACAAGGCATCTTCAAGGAAACAAATATTTTCCCTAACAGCATTTCAGACTGCCTTTTCCGTAACAGAAATCCAAATCTAGAGCTGAAATTTGTCCAGGTTAAAATCCTTACCCTGGACAAAGATCGTAACAGAAAGATTAGATTTGTAACAGAAATTTAAATCTAAAGCTGAACTTTGTCCAGGTTAATTTTTATGACATCTTTAGAAGGTTTGATGCATGGAAATTGTAACAGTCTTTCTCTTATATAATATAAAACAGATCCTCATGACAAAATCTTCACGTCACCAAGCCAGTCTTCTAAGAAAAATGAATAGTGCCGATATGTTTAGTTATAAAAAGCTATGGTGTAAAGACCTTTAGCTATTTTTATTTTGGAGCAAAGAGATGTGAAAAATGTGTAATACCTTAACCTTTACTCAACCTCCAGACTTTCCGATTGCTAGCCGAACTGGCTTTCCAATTATATTACGAAGGCACGTGAATACGGAGGGAGACAAACTTTACAACTGAGCTACCTAAATCACTTCTTTTCACTTTTAAGTATAGCTTTGAAACCTTAACCGGCGAAAAATCTTCCGTTTTATTAAAGCTGTACATTAAAATAGCATTCCTGTTTCCGTATTTCTTTATTTGCTTTTATACGCAATATTCTATTTCTCTAAACAGCTTAATTTTAATTTTTTACGTATTTAATTTTAACAATTCTCATAAACTCTTTCCTCTTTCTTCCATTATATATCTTTTAGATCACGCGTAGTTTTTTGTAATACGCGATGATCTATTTTGATAAAAAATCTTTTAATAATATTTAATTTACTTCTCACACGACTAAATAAGTATAGGCAAAGGATAAACTGCAATCTTGGAATGCTAATTGACATACACGCTTCTGTTCCAAGATTTCGTTCAAAATTTTTGTTGTGATGGTGAAATCTGCAATAATTGAATTTCGCTGTTAACGGGCAAACTCTCTTTAAGACAAATAAATGAAGTGATATCATTCGGCACAGAGTAGTTCATGTGGGAAGGAAAATTAACGTATTTTCTTATCATTCAACTATGACACCGTAGTTTGAGCAAAAGATGTTCCAGCAAATATTTTTGGCTTTCTTTGATCAGAAATGCATCCCTATCACGCTGTAACCACCCTGATTGCCAAAATTTACATTGTGTGACCTTACTTGTTACATTTTGTCAACAGCAATATGCGAACTCAAAAGCTTTCTGTCAACTCATGCAATCTGAAATGACGTGACAGTGGTTCTGTGGCAGTTATCAAAATAGGCATTCTCCTAACACTATTATTAATTTCACAGTGTTAGACACATATATGCGTGTATTCTGATGTATGATACTTCAAAATTGAGAACATTTTGAAAAAATGTTTCATCATAAAATAAATTGTGACCAAAAAATTGTAAATCTTCCTGTCGCTAATGCACTGCATGTTAATGGCTGAGAAGTCAATAAACTTTGCTTTTAAATCATCTTTAATATAAAATGCGATAACAGAACTTTTCAGCATAAATCCAGCAATATTCAGAGAGAAATTTCTTATTTCTCGAAGGTAACTAAATTTGAATCTGTAAACAGTAAAATTTTTAAACCATCTAATGACATTGATGAACTATTCCTGCGAATAAAATTTTGAAAATTTAATGTACGATTACTGCGAAGATGATTAATTATATTTTTACCACGTGTAAGAATTGCATTTTATAATGCAGAGGAAACGAATGATACAAAAGGATGTGCCGATGTGTTTTGTTATAATAAGTTGTAGAGTTGCGCGCCTCTAACCTGCACGCAACCAAGAGGTGACTGTTGAAACTGGAAAATAGACAGAGTCTTGCTAAGGGTTTAAGTCCCTTTTTATTCAACTTAAGAAATTACAATTGCGTGCTCTTGACGCTCACAAACTACGCCGACCCGGCGGTAAAATAAAAATAAGACTCTGAAAAAGAAATAATAACAAGACTCTAACTACGAGGCTCTCTAAAAGTAACTAACCTCACCGCGTTTTACAATACCGCTGCTAATTCAACAAACTTTGAATATCACGTTGAACGATTAACAATTCTCCCAGGCAAGCACACAGGCCGAAACGCGGGGTTCTTCAATTTCTGGCTAACTACCTCCGCGCTCGTGAAGTAAGAACAGCACACTTCGAACTCGTTTCCTTTCTATTTAACAGAATACTTCCGCTGATAATTTGAATCATTGCGCGTTCTACTAAAATTTACATACTCTGGCATTGGCAGTTCCAGGGGAAAGTAAGGCTTGACAGGAAAGATAGTTTAAACTTAAAATAAATGTTAGTTAAAATAAATATAAACCCTACAAAGTTACTGATAATTGCAATATGTCTACTAATTTACACGTATAATTAGTTTTAAATTACACTGCCACCTTGAACTTTTATTTTGACACAGGTGTCTGTCAACTTTAAGATATCTCTCATTGGTCTCAATCATTGAAAAATTCTGAGCTCTGATGATATACGGCGATTTATGTAGAAAGTCGTTCGATGTTTGGTAGAATAAGAGCTCTGAAATTCGAATTAACTACGATAAAGATATTAGAAAAATCTGGTTAATTTGATATTTCCTCTCCCCTCCCCGTGTGAACCCCCTCCCCCTGAACATTTGAATGTTCAGATACAGTAAAATGACTAACAGAATTTCGTTTTTGTATTTATCGCATTTTGTTCCTACAAAGGTTATATTGTGAACGAAAGTAAAATATTTTACTTTCTGTAAAACGAAATACAAAATTCTCTTTTTCGATAAAGTTAAATGTTGAAGCAATTTTTTGCCATTAGCAAAAATTTTCATAAAAACCAATAATTATGTTGTAATATTTTTCTTGAATAGAAAAGGAACTGACATAATGTCATAACTTTTTTAATCTATTTTTAGGAAGCGAAAAAGTAAGAAACGAGCATTTATTATAACTTGTTATACACCCGCATCTAAATTATTTATTAGCTGAAATAAAAGTTTTTCATTATTCAGATTTTCTCTTTAATATTATCATTTCTGAATATTCGGACTAACTAGCACCGCAGCCTTTCCAGATGTACAAACAACTTGGATCATTAATTTCTTTTTACCCTGTTATTTGCGTTCATTCCTATAATATAAATATAAGAGACAGAGTTTCATTTGTTTTTCCATCATAGTTTTTATTTCATAAAGAATAAGTGATTAAGAAAAATAAAACATTTCCATTAACATAAAATAAAATGTAAAATATAATTTATTTCGACAAAATTATTCCTTATGCATTCAAATACCTTTTCCATTTATATTTTGCATGAAATAAAAATATGAAACTAATTTCTGCATACATAGACTCTAGTTTAAATCCATAACCTTTTTCGCACTTTTATTCCACTAAAATTAAGTAGCATTTTTTTTTCTTTTCTTAGAAAACAAAAAGTGCAATATATTTCTGTTTAACAAAATTTTAACTAATCTGTTATTAAACTAAAATAATTAAATAGAAAGTTTTAAAGATGTAATATATGCTATTAAATTTATTCACTTAAAATTTGTTACAAATTTATCATATTTATAAATTTGCTGTAGTAAACTATTTTTACAGATTTATAAATAAATTAACAACATATATAGTTTTCTTTGATTTAGAAATGAATACAAGGAACCGAATAGCTGAATTAAAGATATCTGGGAACCAGACATTTGGAATTTTAAGTAGTTAAATCAGTGAAAAATATAAACAACTAAATATATTAATAATTTTTATTTTCCTTGCATTAGAAAGAACATTCAATGATCCGAATAACTGGAGATTTCAGCATATGAGGGTCTGATGATTAAAGTTCTACTGTATGGATTAGAAAACAGTTGGGCAAAAACTGTACAGAAGTACTAAAAATTTGCGAGTTTTTTTATCAAATACTCATACTAAACATATTAAGCTGGAATCTTTCACCATGATGTTCCTAGTACCTGCTGTCTTGCATGATTTGAGTCAACAGATAGTAAATTCCCGTTTAGACGAATTTAGTTTTATTGAAACTAATCACACATTTTCTTTGTCGCGATGGAAAAAATGAGCATTGAATCCATCAGTCCAAATTAGAATCTCCATCATTTTAAACCATATAATGCATTTATTGTTTTCAGCTTGCGACTTTTATAACCTAACAAATTGGAACCTTGATGATCAAGCAATCCAGTGAAGTAAATGTACAGTTACGTCTGGAATAATTAAACTTTTGTTTATTAAATAAGTACGCAAATCCCCACATGTTTAGCTTGGCAAGCGTTGAAAATGACGCGAAATACAAGAAATGGAACGATTATAAAAGGGGTGAAGAAAATAAACTCATGTTTTATAGAGCTTTTTTCTTTCGTATTTTAAGTGTTTTTTTTTTTTAATGTTTTAATAAGTTTTCAAAATTTGGCTGGACTTGTGCAGCTTATTTTTGATCATTCTGATATTTCTGTCTGCATTTATGGAATGTCTGCAGTTTGTTAAGCAACTTTCTTTAATAAAAAATACTGCCCCATATCTCTATCACTTTAGTCCCAGAGAATTGTCTGGTCCGATACGGAAAGGCAGATAAATGCATATATACTATTAATTACTATCAGATAAAGCCAACAGTGAATAATCTCACCCATGAGCTCTGGCAACAGTTAATGATAAGAAAGCTGAATACTACATTCAGCACTTAGTAGAATATACAATCGCTTTAGTAATTCTCGTCTCGCATATTAATGTATATTTATGCGGAAAACAGGAAAGTTATGTTCCTCTTAGATTTATATATTTCTCCATCTTGTAACAAGCACTTCACTCCATCTTGTAACTCACATTTTAATGCACCATCTTTAACTCTCGTGTTTTTTAATTTCCTCTTTTTATTATGTTATTCAGATTACGTATGTTTTGGGCTTAGTACCATGTATCTATGCATAATATAAAAGAAATTTCCTGATGTGTTCTAATCTTAACCGAAGTATATTATACCTTCAGCGTTTTATCGCAGTTAACATTTAGATACGCAATAATATACTTAGGTTTGAGCTTTTGACAGATAAGAAAACTTCACGTTCGGCTTTTATTCGTTTTGCTTAGCAATATTCTCCGAAATGTGCTTTTCTGCTTAAGTGGAGGCACTTAGTTTCCTCGTTGACTAAATTTAAATTACTGATATGCTCATATCTGGAACAGCTAAAACGGTGGAAAATATTAGTGATGAAACATATGCAGCATCGTCACTTTTATAAACAGCATGACATTAATTAAGGGAATGGAAAAGTAAATTCTTCTCTTCCCAATTTTAATGCTACTTGGTACCTTTTTCCGCAGCATTTGAGAAAAGATATCACTAGAGTTAGCCCCTAGGGTTTCTCAACCTTTACCCATTTCCATTGAATTATTTAAAATAATCACAGTTCACTCAAATAAAATTTCCTAGCAACGTCGAAAGATTATGCCAAATGACCACCAAACTTTCCTTTCTACTCGTAATGGTATCATACGCTTTTCTTTAACGTAGGTACTGAGAGTTGTTTATCGATGCTACCTCTTGTTTTATGATAACCGTTTACCAATGAAAATCAATTGTAACATATTTCATTTTTTCTTTCATTTTCTGCTTTTAAAGCAAGCATTCTATGAAGTATCTTTTCCAGAAGCATAGTTCTAGTTAAATTCCACATATTTTTAATCAAAATGGTTATGATTAATAGTTTTAAAACGAAATTTTTCTAGTTTCCCGTTAATAAATGTTTTGCTTAAACTTACTGGAAAATGTTTAGCAAGTTCACGTGGATACAAAGCAGTTTATTTCAGAACTATTTAGTTTCATTGTATAAAGGTTTCTTTCTCTTTGAACCAAAATAATAGCAAAGACGGTTTTATAAAGATGGATAGATATGGGGTAGAAAGTTACATGTACTTAATCCGATGTAATAGCACTTGCGTTATCCTCATTGTATTCTTTCTGGAGTAAAATCTCGAATTCTGTATTAGTAAGATATGTTCGCGACAGTTTCTTTTAATTGCCATTAAAAATTTTGCAAATACGATTTTGATTACAATCCCGGGCAGCCCAGACGGTATAGTAGTTAAAGGAGCCTACTACAGTACTGAAGATCTCGGGTTCGAGTCCTGGAGAAGGCATAGATGTTTGTAAATGTATAGTGTCTTTGCGGCATAGGGGCACTCCAAATACATGGCGAGACAAAAGCTCTCTAGTTTAGTTTGGTGGTAGGGGAGAGGCATGGGAGATGGTCGGACCCCCTGGTGCTTTGCCTCAAAATTAGGGTGGAATTAGAAGTCCAACCTCCTTGAGGTACTGGTAACTACTCTTCCATGAAATTCATGGACAAAACAACAAAAACAACATTAGAAACCCGATCTACCTTACGTCATCTTCACCTCCATAGAATAAAGAGATAATTATCTGAAACTACATATCCGAATTATAATGGCTTATACATACTATATGCGTTTTCATTCAAGCTTTCTTACAGAGATTCGGAAGAATGTTGTATTGCATTACTTTGCTGAAACTTCCCTTTTTTCATATTCAAGGAAGTGTTTTAATATAGTCCTTTAATAATATTTAAGTTAATAGTCCACTAATTTAAAATAATACCACTGCACCACTGGGATCTCAACACACTACACAATTTTTTATGTTTATTTTTCAAATGTTGAAAGCAAAACCAAAATGATATTGCAAAGTCTTTGGCTTTTGATTGAAACATCTTGTAAGTTATTCAGTTGTTTTGTTGTTGAGATGACAACAAAACTGGATGGTGTTATGTTACTCACAAACGTGGAATTATTTTCAAAGCAAGCTACAAAAGCCAACCGTGCCTTGTCACTGAACATAGTGCATTACTTTATTGGACAACTCGCATAAAATAGCAGGAAGTATAAATAAATACAAATTTTTGATCAATAATATTTTTTATTTTTTTAGCTTACCATTAAGGTCCTCTTCACAAATTGAAATCTGCTGAAACAGGATCTGAAAGCCGCTCTTCGTGACGTTATCATTTGTTCCAAAAACTAAAGCAATGTCATTGGCTCCATCCTCGAAAGGATATTGTACTGAAAGAAAATACGAAGAATGCATTTAGGCAATACACTTTAAATTTCATTCATTTAAGATTATAATTACTTCCACCATCCTATCTAGCAAGTGAACAAAAAGAAAATTTTTTATTTATTTAAAAAATAGGAAAAACGTAGCATCGAAAGATTGCCTTTCCTATTTAAAAATAATTAAAAAGATAAAATAAAAGATAAATAAGAGCTTCGTTGCCTACAGAAAGCTTCCAAATTACTCTTTTCAAAAAACTAAAATTCTAATACTTAGAATTTATATTATCTTTACTATATAATATATCAGCACTTTTGTCACTGTAAAACAACATTTTAACCCGTTTCAGATCTTAATCAGATATACGCAGTTGTATTTGTTTGCTCCCAACTAAAAAAACCTAAATGCATCATACGATAATTAAGGAAATGTATTTAAACAAAGCGTGATTTTAAGCTAAATCCCTTCATAAGTATGCCATAAAAATAATACTGTCAAATTTACATATGAGTGGAGCTAATAATAATAATTTATATATATAAAGTAATTAAAATTAAGGACTTTAATGTAAAAAAAATCTAAATTAAAGCTTAAGCAGCTAAGATTAAAAGTGTAATTTAACCAATAAAATTTTTCATACTATAAAGGTTATACTATCTGGAAAAGAGGAAGTATTATTGTAACTGGAAATTATTAATTAATTAAATAAAAATGAGTTTTGCTTTCTTAAATAGTCAAGAAGGATGAAACGCGTTTTCAGAACTCCTTAATTGTTCTTGTTTGATGTTTGAAAAATTACTCCTGATAGGTCTGTTTGAAACATTAAACAATAAATAATTAATTAGTTATTAATGCTTCATAAAAAATATTTTAATTAAAAAATTTATGGAAAATTCATAACTATAAATGCTGTTTGTTTTGCTCAATAATTTTCAGTTGCAATGATACTTTCTCTTTCCCGGTTAGTTTAATCTTCATAGTGTGAACAATTATATTTGTTAAATTATATATATATATATACATATTCAAATACTTTATGAAAGAAATAAAATTAATTAATTATATAGAGAGTGAGTATGCGACTCTTATAATTTGAATTAACTACTCAGAGCTATAATAAAAAGCAGGAAGAAACAAAATCCGAAAGCGAAAAATTTCTTCATCTGTTATGATGATTTTATTGCTCTCTTTTTGATTTTTTGGAAAATGTTTTGCACTCTACATTTATCCTTTGACATTATAAACCTATATCTACCCTTAATGTAAACTACCTTAAGTTCAAGTCCAATACTGCCTAGGTTAGAAATAAGGCTTATTAAATATCAATTAATTAAAATGTATTAATTGCACTAGTTCATGTTTGCAGCTGAAGGTAACATACGGAGCAAGACTGAACTAATCAAAGAAATTGGCAAATCGGAGAAAATTCTTCAATGCAAAATTTCTTTAATCATTGGTATTACAATTTTGGTAGTATAGTTTTAAGAATATTATCTCTCTTCACCTAAAAATCAATCCTATTAAGTTTCTTGTTTAATATTAGAAAATATCTTCTGCAGGAATTTAAAATTTCATACTAATATAATAACAAAGAAACTAGAAGTCTCTTATACAGATAACGTTCATAATATTGAGTTTCCGTGTAATGAACGACAGGGAAGTAAACTACAAAATAAAACTCTGTTTCAAAGACACTTACCAACAGACTGCGCGGGAATATGTCCACATAGTCTTTCGTCTCCAATTGCCAAAAAGTCTCTTCCACATCCAGGACTTGTCTCGAGATCGAACTTCCTGAAAGTAATCTCTAATCCACAGATAGCTTCAGAATTCTTGCTAATGATATATCTGCACAGAACTCCATTTGGATATTCATCTGGAAATCCAGGATGTTCTAATAAAAAGTCTTTAGATGACCAGTTTTTGTCACAGTTGACTGGTTCTGGAATTAAAATTTGTTTATCAACAGAATGAAATTAAAACTTGTTAGAAATCAGTCCTAAGGTATTTTCGGTCAGCCTAAGCCAGTGACGAATTCTAAGTTTAAAAAATAGCTAAGTTCGAAACTTTATTGAAATATCTATTTTGGGTCAAGAAAATATAAATATTTAAATCACGTAAGTCTAAAATACTGCATTTTGACTATTCAATTATCCTTGATCTGTCAGAATTTCAAGAATTTGTTGCAAGAATAGGGTAGCTATGGAATTCAGTAACTCTGAACTCTGAATTAATAAGAATTATAATACCTAATTTTCATTCGGTACAAGAAGAGACTAGCTGAGATTCAGTCCAAGAAGCAAGAACTTTCCTCTCTTACCTTCTAAGGTAGTACAGTTGAAAGGTAAACAAGCGAAAATCGCTCTATTTCTGTTATATGTAGCTGAATAAAAATATTTTGGGGCTTATTTCTTCATTCAAAATCGGATTATTTTGAGTCTAATAGCACCCGATAAATGCATTTTCAGGGCGTTTTCATATCAGTTATATTTCACTATCCGCTTATGGGTTGCCAGTGGGGGCATCTGTAACTCTGTAATCGCAGTGGATGCCCTGCCAGGATATGGATTATCAATACTCGCGTGTTACTGCCTTTGAAGTGCCTCCTTTACCGATATGCTGAAACAGGAATAACTGCCCATCATCACATGCATCACCACATTTCACGCATTTCATTACCACTCTTCAAAATTTTGAAATAAAAGTTAGTCAACCTTTTATCGTGTTTTCACGGGTCGCATTTCACATTTTACTTCGTCACCTGCTCCAAGGGAACAAGCAAGTTGTTTCCATACGTTCTGACCAAATACTGATAGAGCAATCATTTTACTTCTGGTGCAATCTCTGCAGATCCTCAATCTTGCCTTTCCAAATTCTTGACCACCCTTAAATTTTTAAGCTCAATATCTCGCTTAAATTCTAAAACGTTTGTTAATGTTTCGCTAAATTCTCAAAATTTTCTATTTTTAAATCGCATTGCCAGGTGCGACTTCACCAGTTGCACAGTCCCTGGATCCGACCTTAGAAAAGGCATGGATATTTAAATACTGAACTCAAGAAAAAGAAATAGAAGATGTCTTAAAATTACTTTGGGCGCTGGCTGTCAGGAGTGATTTGATATCTGAAAGTAATTTTCATAAAAAAAAGTATCTTTAAGCACTGCGTACTGTTGTTTTCTATTTCCTTCTAAACAATAATATAAAGTTAAAAAATGTATTTTTCAATGCAATTTATTTACATAAAACAAAAACTCATACAATTTTATGGACGAAGAGCACAATTACAAACTGGGAATTCCCATCATGAAAGGATAACTTTCCTGTTAAAAGTTATAATTGTACTTATACCTCTAAGTAGGAATTACTGATTTCACTAAGATGAGAACGGCACCATTCAGATTTTATAATCACATTTTGAACATATGTTTAAAACAGTTTTCCTGAAAAAAGTGGAAAATTGGAGTTGTATTTTCCTTAAAACAAGGTGCTCGGTTTCAAATTTCTATCAAAAAGCAAGGATGAAATCGCAATAAAACTGAAAATAGTTAACATTTTTACTATAATAGCTTTATTTAAGCTATTATAGTAAATTATAGTAGATTATTCTCCTTACATTAGCAATATTATTGCTTACAAATAATTTCTCAGAAATAATAATAATAATGTTGTATCATAAATTATAATACGACGTTTAGCTTAAGAGAGCTTCTCCTGACGCATGCGCCGTTCGCGTTTATCCGCGCGGTGATGAATGATGACGTAACTGTTTATTACGTATGTATGTATATGTATACCATTCTTACTTCTTCGCCCTTTTTCTCTGCTGTATGCAACTATGTTTAAGTTAATCTCTGTCATTAAAAATGTTCATTGATATTACAATCTATTTAGGCTTATTTATTTCTTCAATGGTTATGGGCCCAGGAACGTTTCAACTGTGCTTAATTAACAAAATACCTATTTTAAAATGAACATTTTGAAGTTTTCGAGCATTGAACTCTTAAGCCTAATTCAGTGCAAGAACTTGTTACGTCCTAATCAACGGTAAGAACTGATCAAGCGTTCAGTTAAGCCTATTTTATAGCGCTCAATCTTCGTTTTTTTTTTTTTTTTTTTTTTTTTTTTTTTCAATCTTGTTTTTTAGCTTTGAGAGACTGTTATTACATTATGTCGCATTTGACTACTATAGAAAAGCTCGGAAAAGATAATTTTGACAGTTGGAAATTAACAAATAGAAGCAGTATTGATTAAAAACGACCATTGGGATTATGTAACCGGTAAAGAGTGCTAAAACCTGCTGAAGGAAACCGAAGACGAAAAGAAATGGCTCCAAGCTGATCAAAAAGCTCGCGCAGATATAATTCTTGCTATTAATCCTAGTGAACTGTGTCATATATAAAGCATTGTGTGACATCAAATGCTGTGTGGAATAAACTCAAATCCGTATATGAATCGAAAGGACCTGCGAAGAAGGCTACATTATTAAAACAGCTTTTATTTAGAAAAATGGTGGAAAGCGAAACGATGTCTGAACATTTGAATAATTTCTTCGAAATAGTTGATAAGCTTAAACAAATGGAAATTGACATAGCTGATGATTTATTATCGATTCTTCTGCTCTACAGTATTCCAGAAAATTTTGAAAATTTTAGATGCGCCATCGAATCAAGAGATCAGTTACCTAGTCCCGAATCTTTGAAAATCAAAATGTTAGAAGAATGGGAAGCAAGAAAAGGGAAAACGTCTCAAGATTCACAGAATGCATACTATACTGATTATAAAAGAAGAAATCAAGAACAGAAGAAAAATGAAAAATGGAAGGTAAATTCAAACAAAAATTTTCCAGCTGAAAGAAATTTTCGAAACTTGAAGTGTAATTACTGTTCGAAAATTGGGCACAAGGCATCTGAATGCAGAAAGAAAATAGCTGATAGAAAATATGCACAATCAAATAGGGGAAATCAAGGTTCTATGATGGCTTCTAATTATGAAGAGCAGATTAGTTTAGCAGTAAACAATGCTTATCAGAAGACCTCCTCATGGTGCTTAGATAGTGGCTGTACATCTCACATGTGCAATGACAGAAGGTTATTTTCAGAATTTCACCCTCGAACGAATTCAACCATAAAGTTAGCAGTTGACAAAACAGCAAAAATTACAGGAATTGGAACTGTCCTTATAACAGTACCTAACGGAAATAAGACAATTAAACTTACACTCAAAAATGCGTTATGTGTTCCGGAATTAAAATGTAATTTGCTGTCAACATCTAAAGCTACTGCAAATAATCGTTCAGTGATTTTTACAGAACGACATGCTAGAATAATAGAACCAAATGGATCTATAACTAGTGCAGGCTATTCGTCATGGTGATCTTTATTATATACATCCAAGCACTGAAACAGCTGCAATAGCACAGGTAAGTGATTTTGTAAAGTGGCATCTTAAATTAGGTCATTTAAATGAGTCTGATTTGAAAAGACTTAAGTCTGATAACATGGTTAGAAATTTAAATTTTAATAACACTGAATCTCTAAAAGACTGCAAAGTCTGTATCCGAGGTAAACAAACTGTGCAACCTTTTCAAAAAGAATCAAAATTTCAAAGTAATGAATTACTGAACTTGATTCACTCAGATTTGTGTGGACCTATGAGAGTCCCATCCCATGCTGGTTCGCGTTATTTTGTTACTTTCATAGACGACAAATCGCGTTATGTCGAAGTCAGTTTCCTTAAAACTAAAGATGAAGTGAAAAAGGCATTCATTAAATACAAAGCTGCGGTCGAAAATCGTCTAGGAAAGAAAATAAAAATCCTTCGGACTGATAACGGTCTCGAATATCGCGGAGAAGAATTTAATAAATATATTCAAGAATGCGGGATTAAACGAGAATTCTCTGCACCAATGACTCCTTCAACAGAATTCGAGAGCTGAACGCATGAACCGCACTTTAACTGAAATGGCCAGATGTTTGTTACTACAAAGTAATCTTCCTCAATCCTTTTGGGCTGAAGCCTTGAAACTGTGCTGTTTATATTCGTAATCGTTGCCCGAATCGAAGCCTGGGAGTAAACAAAACACCCTTATGAATTATTTTTTGGCATCAAGCCAACGGTATCTCACTTCAAAGTATTCGGACAGAAATGTTTTGTACTTAATAAAAGGTCTAAAGGGAAAATTCGATCCTCGATCAGAAGAACATATTTTTGTAGGATACTCAAATGAATCGAAAGCATACAGGCTGTGGAATAAAAATTCCAGAAAAAATCGTTATAAGCCGAGATGTTAGATTCATTGATGAATTTGAAAAACTGTACTAATTATGATAAAGATTTAGAAGTTTTATGTTCTCGAAAATATTCCATGATAAAAAGAAGGAAGAACCTCTGAATGTAAATCAATATCGGCTGATGAAATAACGGAAGACCCCTCAAATATGGCAGAAGCATCTGCTGACTCATCTGATAATGAAGATTCTGATTCCGAAGCAACTACCTGAAAATGCAGATTAAAAGGGGGGCCAGGTCGTTCCAAAGTAAAGTCAAGACTGGGAAGCCAGGAAGACCAAAAAAGGAGTACCACAATATAAACATAGAAAAGGAAGAAGCACAAATTGCTGAAGAAGATACAAATCCGACATTAGAAGAAGCATTAAATGGAAGTTATGCTGAGGAATGGCATAAGGCTATGCAAATTGAGTATGAAGCACTTGTTAAAAATGGTGCATGGAAATTAGTAAAGCGACCACACAACAAAAAGGTAATAGGATGTCGCTGGGTTCTTAGAACGAAATATAATGTAGATGGAACAGTTCAAAGGAGAAAAGCTCGATTGGTTGCTAGAGGATTTGCACAGGAACCTGGAATTGATTTTAATGAAACCTTTGCTCCAGTAGCCAGAGCAAGTTCTATAAGAACTGTGATTGCATAGTGCTGAATAAGA